AGGCTGGAAAAAGGCCCGAGGTGGCCAGACTAAAACATGGCACCAATGTATGAAGTCTCTGACTGTTGGTTTAAGCCATGTAGGACGATGCAGACTAGGTGGTTGGGGTCGGTGGGACAAGAGGAACCAGTGGTTGGAGACCCTAGGTGATATGGCTCAGAACCGAAGTCAGTGGCGCAGATGTATACACACATTATCCTCATCTTAACAACGCTATACCGAATCTCACTATTTTGTCACTCCTCTTTCCTTTCTTCTCATACTTTATATTTCTTTTGACTGCATTCACTTATCTTCATCCTTCACCTCACTACCTTTTTACTTGATGTGCTGATATGAGGTGTGGCAACTCGGACCGTTACGCAGTAATGCCTGGTCCTATATTGATAATGATGATGATGATGATTCGATTTGTGACCATTGTGTTGAATCGAAATCTATTTAACAACCGTATACTCACTCATCTAATAGGGGAGCAATGAGGTGCATCTGTTATTTTAACGGCTTTGCAAATCTTGATAGGTGGACCAGTGTTCAAATCCTATGTACTATTAAAAGCATATGGGTGGTTGACACTTACCAGTCGCTCACACCGTGGAAGGTGGTAACTGAAAGATAAACAGATTTTTGTGACCTTGGAGCCCATGAGATATCTCTTTGAGGTTTGTTACACATGACCTTTTGTGAATTATTGTTTTGAGAGCCCCTCAGACCAATGATCCTTTAGCTTCACTAATAACTGTTGTGTGGAGTAGCTGAATGGGATACATCATTAATGATCTGAGTAACTTGAATGTGCTAATCAAGACTTACACTACCGGGGGTGAAAATTTTTTTACATTATCATTAGTACAGTCAGATTTTGTGGAGTTTAATGATTTTTCCCGAGTATTATTTACGATTGTGCTGCAATGTATTATCTGACCTATTCAACCATCTATCGGTGTGGAGTGATTTATTCTTATGCGCAGATATCTAGGTCGGTTATTGTAGATTCAAGTCATGTATTAGAGAAGTACTCTTACAACTACATTCACATGTTATTATAAACTATTATTATCTATCGCTAATGACGGGTCTATCTACTCTTGAGGAGTCTCAGACAAGGACGAAATACTTGTCCAGTGCTCCTCTTGGTCTGGTCTCTAATAATTCATTAACTGTTGATCAATCTGTGATAGTAACCACCTTGAAGTCAATAAATCTCCAGAACTCTCCATTTAAACCTTCTAGAGAAGGTGTACCAGTTGAAGTGTCCATCACTAGGCCAAAGATTTTGGAGCTCCTATGCACGAACATCGTAGTTCTTGGTATTTTTGCAGAGTATGTATTACTTGTAATTGAGATCAACTTTATACTGGGCTAGTTTCAAAGACATGGGTATGTCAGTGTCTTCACTGTGTAAAGTGCCAGTTTCAATACAGAAATGTATACTGGATGATGATGAAAGGTGAGATGAGAATATGAACCGCGCCCGGATTCGAACCAGCGACCACTGGGTTACCGGCCCGGTGCTCTACCAACTGAGGTAACGAGGTCTGACTGCTGAAAACAATTTTGTTTCAGATTTCCAGATTTTCATCTTACCCTCAACCATCACCCAAACCGCATCATCCTGGAGAGACTAAAACATGCGCTAGATTCAAAAGTACGACAGGAACAGGCTAGCTTCAGGAAGAACAAATCATGTGGGGATCAAATTACAATGCTACGCATTATCATAGAACAGACTGTAGAATAGCCGTTCAATTTCTACGTCAACTTTATCGACTTTGAAAAGGCCTTTGACAACGTCGACCGAGAAGTCAGTTGGCAGTTGCTTCAACACTACGGAGTGCCATAAACCTTTATCAATCTCATTCAACACCAGCTATATGATGATGATGTTTCTACATGCCAAGTGATTCACAATAGAAAGCTCAGTGATGTTTTTGAAGTGAAGACACGTTGCCGCCTACTATTACCGCTGATCTTCCTGATTGTAGTCGACTGGATTATACAGCAAACTGTGAGGAACTCGAAGATGGGCATACACTGTCTGACAGATGAAAAGACCCTAGAAGATGTGGTTTTCGCCTATGATCTATGTCTGATATTGCACAACTTCGAAGATGAACAGGCAAAAACCAACAAGTTGACAGAAAAGGTAGGGAGGACGGAACTTCAGGTGAACGTAGAGAAGACGGATATGATGAAGATACCCAACCAACATCAACAACAGCAGGCACTAATCACCATGAGCGGGAGATTCGTGAAGAACTTTGTCTCTTTCACCTACCTATCTACCTAACTACCTACCTAGGCAGCATCGTTTTAACTAAAGGCGGGTGTGGCGGCGGGGAGGAGGAACTGATGAGGATGTGAAAACTAGGATCGGAAAGACAGCAAGATAGGTCTTGTTTAATCTGTGGAGATCAGTGTGTAGATCTACTGGATTGCACTGTACTGCAGTCAGCGTAAAGAAAAGAAGATCTGGATTTTCAACTCTCGTGCCAGTCAAATGAGTCAGTGCTTCTATGTGATGGTTTACAGAAAGCATTTTGAACAAACTGCAGACATACATGAATAACTGCCGCCTATGCTCACTCGATACTGAAGATCAGATGAGATGGCTAGAATAATAAGGATAAGCAATGAGGAACTGGGGCCTGACAATGAACCAATCAACGAAGAAGCTATTGCGCAACAAATAAGCAGAAGAAGAAAGTGGAGATGGATTGTATTGGACATAGACTGAGAAGAGGGTTTGGAGACATCACGCACCAGTCCAGGCCAAGCCGTCGAGCGGAAGCCAAATGCGGGAAACGACGAGTTGGATGTTCGAGGATGAGATGGTGTGAGCAAGAAGTGAAGGATTTTGGGCAGTGTTGGAGGCTGGTTTGGAAGACTGGAGAGAAGAGAATGAAATATCGACATGCTACTGAATCCCTGTGTTCCAATTAGGAACCCTAGGGACAAATAATAAAAAATGATCAATCACCACCCAGTATGAATACTCGCTTGCTAAACTACGGCTATCTCAGACAGTCATATGATAAACAAAAATGTGTTTCCAGAAACTCGAAACATTTTCACACATTAGTTCATAGTCAGTTGAGTTTTATCCTAAGCTGTCTCACAGTAGGCATGACTCCATAGCCCAATACTACCCTAGCGAATGCACTGAGTTGAGTTTCACTACTGAAAAATGAGGAAAAATCTGGCTGTGAGAATCACAGACTAAGTGACGACTGAAATAGGCTGTTGAATACAGTGGACAACGCTTCGATGGGGGGTGGGGATTGAGGCTGTATGTACAGCATTTCTTATGAATAACTTTGGTGTTGTGTGAATTATACTCTGTGTATGTTTATATGTGTGGATGTTTGCGTCATTCATTTTTCTAGTGAGTCTTGGTGTTCCAAACAGGACTGGGAGCCAGAACCCCGGTTGGTTAAAACCCTCCAGAGCATCATCCAGTAGGTTACTGAGACCTGAGAACTACCTGTCTATTATTCTAAAAGTACACGAAGAAGACGTATTATCGATGAATCCTGTTATTTATAGAATTTCCGGAGGGGATTTGGAAATTATATTTGAACTGCTGTGGAATTACAGCCGTTCATAGGAGGAACGATATCATTATTGTATACTTCCTCTAGTGTTGATGTAGCTTTACACTATAACTATATGACTTTGTTAGTAGGGGACATATTAGACAGAAAAATGAAAATAAAGGACACCTATTGTTACAATGAAGTACTTCTGGAAGAGGTCCTACACAAGACAGAGGTACATTCACATATATTTTAAGTGAAGAAGGGTAAAAATGTAGCTGCTCAGGTTGATGATAAATGCAATTTGATCGATTTATGTTCAGAGTAGAAACATAATCCCATAAAGAGTAATTCACCTCAAGCAGTTCAATGTATGTAATGTATTCGTTGGCTATATGTATTTATTCCTATGTGGTTATCTGCTTACAACAGTATAGCTCAGTCAATCAATCAATGTCAGTGTAGGTTCAGGCATTACTGCATAGAGGTGTAAGCTGCCACACCTCATATCAGCACAAGTAACAAAAGCGGAAGAGTTGGTTACAGAAGAATCGGGGACTTGTTTCCGTTGTCACATCGACCTCAAACAGCTAGTCTGTATCTCCCTGCATAGCTCAAACCAACAGTCAGACCTAATGCTGGGCCATGTTTTAGTATGGCCACTTCGAGTCTCTTTTCAGCCTAAACCTACTTCAGCTTATATAATGAGTCGATGAAGATTCACGACCTTGTCAACTGACTTTCATTTTCTCCCTGAAACTGTGCGTGTGACTTCTGCATTACTCGTGTGGTGATACGATAACATACGGCCCTTTTTTACAAAGGCAGCAGTGGTCAAAAACCTGAAGCCTTCTCATGCCTTCTACCTTTAATGGGCATGTTTCACAGTCATACAGTAGAACGCAATGAATTGCATCACCTTACACTCGACCCTTAATCCACAATCGGGTATGTTGGCGGTGCTACAGATGTCGTAAGTTGATGAAAGCTAATAGAGCATTTTGGATCTGTGTAGAGATTTCTTCGGTCACTGACTAACTCGCCAGAGTGTATCCGACTTCTATTGTTAGCCAGAGCACCGTTGAAGACTAGTCCTAGATCAACAACTTGCATTCGGATGATGAGAAACGCTTCTGAAACATTCTCAGCGTCTTCACAGGACCAACAGAACTATATCGTCTGCGTATTCTAGGTCTAACGAAAATTCTCCCGCGAATAGGTAGTCAGGTGACAAGAGGGAGACCTCTATAAGAATATCTGTGATAAGATTGAATAAGAACGGAGAGAGTGGGCACCCTTGACGGACATCAGTCGACGTACTCAGCTCCCCTGACAACTCGCCAGCGTTTGTATCATACCCACTGGTGTTCGAGTAAAAATCCTTTATAACATCATGATATACTTATTTTAATAATATAGTGGTTGCTTATATCTAATACAGTTTACCGATTTACTTTTTTATAGCTGAATTGGAATTTGCCATTCGACCCCCGAACAATCAAGATGTAACCCTTGGACAGACTATTTCAATCGATTGTGCTGCTAAGCCGTCTGATTTACAGCCAGTGGTTGAATGGAAATACTTACAAAAAAGTAGGTTATACTGATAATAATAATAATAATAATAATGGTAACAGTCAGTATATTTGAAACAGTATGTTTAGTACGATATGTACTTTCAGTATTCATAAACAAAATAATTATAATATTTGAATAATTGACTTGGTTGTGTTTAGCAGTGGAATCCAGGATGCTTGCTTCGTCCTATTTAGGACTCGTCATCTGGATGTACCTGCACCCCAGTGGGTAATGTTGTTCCCCCCTGAGACTCGAACCTCTTACTCATTGCTTAAAACACGTCATGGTTTTCATTGCTAACCACAATCAAGTCAATTGTAACCATAAATATTCAGACAATCTGGACGCAAACGAATTGAAATCTATATACCAACAGAGGCGGATCAATTCTTTCCAGTATAACAAAGGAGAACTACAAGTATATCAATAAATACTAATATTATCTGAATAATGTTTATAATATCAGTATTACAAGGCTAATGTGAAGCAACTAGGTAGTGTTAGATTAGCATCTGGTTTGAAATGGGGAAATAAACAGAAAACTGATGATAAGTTTGATTTTGGTGGTTATGGTGGTTGATTCATTCAACCAATAGGGAAATCTACTATTCAAGCCAAGTGCTTCACAATGGAAAGCTCAGTGATGTGAAGACAGGAGTAAGACAAAACAACGTTGCATATTATCACCGATGATCTTCCTGGTTGTGGTCAACTCGGCTCGACTGGATCATGGAAGAAACTGTGAGATGGGCATACGCTGTCTGACCGATGAAAACTCAGTGCTTCTGTAAGCTTTACTTTTATATATCTTTACCAGCCTTCAGATTCTCTCCCTTGCCGGTCACTCAATATCTCGATAAATAGAAGAAGCGGTAACAGAACAAAAGGTGTATTCATGCGTTTCTCAACACCCAAATGCAAATTGTTGCTCCATGATCGGTCTCCAACGGTACGTTGGTTAACAATATAGAGTGTAATGGTTGAGTGTGTTGACCTGGGAAGTGGGATCAGGTGTGGTGGGTCAGTGGGTGGTGATATCTCTACACGAATACAAAAGGCTCAGTTGGCTCTTGCTAGTTTATGCTATATGTGGTGCTGCCGTGATATCTAATTATCTGTTAAGTATGGTGTGTACTGCACAACAATCCACCGTCTTCTACTGTGTGCCTGTGAAACATGGTCATTGAGTGTGGAAGACATGAGGAGGCTTCGAGTGTTTGACGACTGTTGTCTTTGTAGTGGTATAGTCTGTATTGTGTGGTGTCATCAGGTGAGTAGCTCAGAAGTGAGGTGTAGAGTTTAGGAGGGGGAGAAGAGGTTAGTTGAGTCAGTTGACATAGTTGTGAACCTTCATCGACTGAAATGGATAGTTGGGACATGTGTACACCTAGTGGCTGATTGCCTCGTCACACAATGTTGGTCGAAGTAGGTGCAGACTGGTAAAAGTCTGTTGGTTCTCGGTTAGACTAAAACATGGCATGAATGTATGAAGTGTTTGACTGTTGGTTTGAGCGATGTGTAATAGCCCGTTGGGGTGAGGTCCGTGTGACAAGAGGGACTATTTGTTGTAGACTGACTGTAGGTGATCACATGGCTGAGAACTGATATCAGTGGCCCAGGCTCATCTCCACACACATTATCCTCACCTTAACGCTTTACCGATTCTCACCATTTTCTCATTCTTCCTTTCTCTCCTTTACTTTACTTTATATTTCTTTTGACTGAATTTTCTTTCCTTCATCTTTCACTTCACTGGCGTTTTACTTGATGTGGTGATATGAGGTGTGGCGGAAAATTGGAGCGTTATGTAGTAATGCCTGGTCCTATGTTAATTTGGATGGATGGATGGATGGAAACACTGCATCAGTGATTACGTCACATCTGTTTTTGTTAACGAACTTACATTTATACGTGGTTATACATAGATAAGGAGAGGTTAATCGGGTCAAGGATTTGAGGCTGGGAGAACACACATTTAAACAGTTTCATATTCATAGGTGTACATTACCCATAAATTGATAGCGACATATATTGACGTATATTAGAAGAGGAAGATGATGGTTTTTTCTCTTCTTGGATATATCGATTAGTTAACAGGAAGATGGATTTATCAGAATTGATTTGTCTACTCAAAACCCATATAGATAGGGCAAGTTAGAATACTATCTATCCGGTGCAGTGTAGCAATGGTCAGCGTTAGTCAGGTAATTGTTCGATAGCATTCAAGCAATATACATTTATCATGCTGTAAAAGATGAGAATCTTCATGAATAATTTTTTTCAAGGAATATTTGAGTCAAAAGTTATTAGTACTAGTCTGTACTAAGTTGTTTGAGCAAAGAGACTTATAGTCCATTATGTTTCGAAGAGAGGTGTCTTCATGAATCTTCTATTCACAGATGGCTCTGATATCGATTGTACCTTAATCTATGACTTAGCCCAACTATCAGAAGGATATATTGTGCAGCTCGGGGTCAGGTAGTCGGTAAACCCCCTAACCTGTATGCTCTTCTAAACATACACAAGATATTTATAGTAATGTCACACCCCACTTTATACTTGCCAATTTCAATATAGATGTTCTGAAAAGACTCTTAAACTCAAAGGTTTTTACCCATTTGAAGGGAAATAAAGTTCTGGTCAGTAGTCGGGTATCAGTTGGTAGACCACAACCATGCTGGAAAGCCAGTTGGCCTTCAATCATCACTCAGTATCAACGTGTATTCTGTTGAATATACTTTTCATCATTTGTGCTGCAAACAAATATATAGGCTACGCTCAATTATCAACTAAAAATAAAGGGGGGGGAGTATTTTCAATGTTTGTGTGTATTGACTGATATATTTCTGAAGTGTTACGTTTTCATACTACTTACTAGTAGTCGAGTGTTGAGTACAAAATATGTTTAAATGTAATTGTGGATAGTGGCTAGTAGTGAATGCAAGTTTTATCCTCTCTAGGACATATCAACTGGGAGTACCTTCTTCTCAGTGAATGACTTTGTTCCTACTAAGGCTCAAACTCCGGGACCAATTGCTTATAACTCCATAGCGTTATCCATTAGACTAGGGTACTTGAATCTCATCAATTCAATATACATACGTTAGCTATTTGTTCATACGTCTTATTTCTCGTGGCTTATTTCACACTGGATTGAGTTAGTCAATTTTTGTCGATATATGAACTCACTTGAATGAAGGACATCTCAATGTTTCCTTAACTTTCAATTTGTGTAATTTGCTTGATAGAAGTGATTATAACAGCGTGAAGTCTGTCTTGGCTACAATACGGTTTCATCTAGCTGAAATCTCCTGAATGAGATGAAACACACACACACACACACACACACACACACACACATACAGATACCCATCTACCCACGGATTTGTTTGGGCCTCTTTGTCTACTCTTTCTCTCTCTTTCTCTGTACGTTTGCATTTTAGGTGGTCTTAAAATGGAAATGGAAGGAACTTACTCAGCAACCCTGTGCTCATTTGTACAGTAGGGAACAATGAGCCACACGTCTATTTTCTTATTCTTCGTTCTTTTGACTGAATTTCCTCATATCCATCTTGTGCTTCAATGCTTTTCTACTTGATGTACTGATATGAGGTGTGGTGGGATCTCGGACCGTCACGAAGTAATGCCTAGTCTTAGGTTGATCTGGATGGATGGACACATCTAGTTTGTACGAGGCATAAATACACTACCTGGCTGGTCAAAGTATCTCATTAGGCGGAGTGATACTCGAATCCGTAATCAAAACTCTACACGCACCTTATCTCAATCCTCTTCTCAGAGTTTTCATTGGTGATTTGTCTTATTTCCATGTACATCTTCTAGTTGTTTCCTCTTGTCGTCGCTATTGTTTCTGTTGTTATAACAGTGTAATTTTCATTTCTTTTGTAGCTACTGGATCATATGTAAGTGTTAGTCAATTGTCTGAGGCAACAAATGGTCGTATTGGTCAACTATCGAATGGAACATTACTATTGTCTAGTGTAGATGAGTCAGATCCACGTGAATTTCTTTGTTTCTTAAAACCTGGACGATTATCAACTGCTGCACAGCGTAGCTCAGCTGTAAATCTTGAAGTACACGGTAAAACCAAAGACTTTTTATATTTTTATTATTTACTATTGATTCATTGATGATGGTAAGTATATAAGGTAGGCAGTATCATATTGTCTGGTCTTAACTGATGATGGAACTCTTTCGATCAAAGTATGAAATATAGTCGATTGTTTTTGATTAATTGATAGACAGTCAACAGGAAGATCTATTTAAAGATGGAGATACCTTTTACTTTCGATCACCAACAAGCACAAATTCTCACGCCTTCCCTTAAACATGTTTCATTCCTGTTGGTATTCATCAGCAACTTATGTCTGGAACTATGAGGAAACTGATGATCTCTCGGTGATTCGAAACCACATTATCTAGTTGATGTAAGTGAATATATCATCGGTGTCAGTCTTGAAGGTAATCTTCACCTGTGTACAAGCTTATAAAGTATCAGAATTGTAGAGTAAGATACTCCGCTTTATAGTTAATCTTATGATTGGAGGGAATTCTAGGAAGTGAAGTATGGTAAATATCTAAATTATGATGTCTTGTATGCAGTACATGATGTTCTGTGGAAATACTACATTATGTGATCTTTTTCGTTTCTAATTCTTAGAAATTAGATATGACTATGAAATCATTATTATCATTAAAAGAAACTTGACTTTCAAATCATCGGTCCTAAGTTGGTGGTATCGTACACTCTTACAGAACAAGTGGAGTTCAAAACCTAGTATAACAAAAAACAAAGATGGCTCTATACTAAGAAGTATATATATATATGAAAGTAACGTCTAAGGTACAGTATACACACTTTCTCAGCTTGGCACCAAAGTACAAACGCAGTATAATCTGTCTGGTGCTTGGCTTTCAGAGTAAGATCGATTTGTTCCAAGGAGTGTATGGAAAAAGAACTATTGTATATCTATGTTATTCTAAGTGAAAACGGATATACAGATAAGTTCTCATCAATTACATTGATGCTAAACGAGAATTGATGATATTGGGGATGAAGCCTTAGCTTTCTCCGTTTACACTTCAATGAAGATGTTGCAAGTGACATTCTATCATGACGTCTAGCTAGAGCAGTCAATAGGACGTTTTATGCAGGTCGAATTTCTATATCATTCAGTAGTCAGCCAATGTTCAGTCTGAGACTAAAGGATAACTTACCTCATCTTAGCTCTTCATCTTGCATATATCAATTTAACTGTTCCTGTAGAACTAGTTACATAGGGCATACGATGAGGCAGGTGTCTCTTCGGATACGAGAGGATTTATCAGCTTTGCTAGGAAAGGAAGAAGTGAAAGTGGTGAAAAGTTGTTGTAGCGCATCTAGTCGACACAGGGCATCATCACATAGATCTTTATAAAGCTTTCAGTGTCATTCATCGTGTTTCAAAAAACGACACCACATGAAGCTCGGTAACGCCTACTCGACATAACTGACGCTGTCGTAAAACGACTAATGAAACCTGAATTGTGCATTCAGAGAGAACATGTCCAAGTGTTACTTCTTCCTTGACCTTCAACAAATAACTAAAGGTCACTCCTGCTATTTTGAGGAGGTAACTAACGCTAACATGGCTTGACTTTAACGTTAAAGAAATACATTTTATAATTGTAGAAGGTGATGAGAGAATTCTGTTGAAAAGTACTATTCTTCGTTGTTCAGATTGTTGCTTTTTATAAGTATTATGGAAGTCATGATAGCCATCCGTTGTGTAACGAGTGGCAAGTACATCCAATTAACAATTGACAAATAGGATGAGACACGCGTTGTACATTCCACTGCTAACCACTCTCCGTCATTATTAACAAAGTGGCTTACTTTTAAATTCATCATTTGGAAATGTAGATATCCAAATAATGAATATTATTTACTGAATATTCCAAGTTGTGTCTAAGTGACAGTATACTACTCAGTTTCTCAACTTCGTAACGATGAAGTAAAAAGGTGATCTAATAGTTGGGTGCCTGACATGCAGAGTAACATCGATTTGTTTCAAAGAGTGTGAAAATGGATATCGGGATAAGTTTTCATCAAAACTAACATCAATTACATTGGTCGTAAACAAGAACTGATAACAGTGGACAAGAAGGCTTTGTTTCTGTGTTTGTAATTCAAAGGAGGCGCTTCAATTGAAATCTTATCACAACGTCTAGCTAGGACGTTTTATACAGGTTGGCCGGTAGTCAGCCAATGTCCAGTCTGAGACTCAAGGATAACCTACCTAAGCTTATCTCTTCATCTTGCATATATAAATTAAACTGTTCCTGTGGAATTAGTTATATAGGATGCACGATTAGGTAGGTGTGTCTTCGGATACAAGAGGATTTATCAGCTTTGTTAGGAAAGGGAGAAGTGAAAGTGGTGAAAAGTTCACTCGTAGCCCATCTAGTCGACACGTGGCACCATCGCATAGATGTTAATAAAGCTTTCAATATCATTCATCGTGCTACAAAAACGATACCACATGTAGTTCGTCAACATCTGTTCAACATAGCACAGGCTGTCACAATAAGATTGATCTAGCCTGAACTCTGGATTCAGAGAGAACATGTCCAAGTGTTACTTCTCCCTTAGCCTTCAACAAATAACTAAAGGCCACTCTTGCCATCTTATCATTCATTCTGTATATATGTATCATCCTTTTAGTTAGTAGATCTTACTACATTTTGGGAAGATAACTGCTGGTAACATGGCTCGGTTTTAGCCTACATTTTATAATTGTAGAAGGTGATGAGAGAATTCTGTTAAAAACAATGATTCTCATTGGTTGTATTATTGTTCTTTGAGCTGAGTTGAAATTAGTGCTGATGATGTTGCTGTCTAGAATGGCGGTGAAAGCTTCACGATTAAACGACCCAGTTGTGAGAGTACAATACAACCAAAAATCATCTACCTGAGCTACAAATATATTCTCCATTATTTCTAAACTATTCGCTTAGATTGTTGCTTTTTATAAACGTGTAACAGGTTAAGGTATATTATTTTATTTATCCTTTTGACATATCATATGTTAGTGGGAAATTTTTTGACAAATCTTGACAGCTTATTACCTAACGAAGGTTCTGTTATCTAGTATCCTGTAATGGATTTGCATACTATTCACGTATACGGTTTGTTATATCCTTCTTTCTTCACAACGTTTTATCCTTAGATAAAGGTATGCAATAATGTTTCTTATTTTCTATATTTAGTACCTGCACGTATTGATCCTTTGGAGGCTGTAGAAAAAGTTCGTGGTTCTCGATTCAATTTAACCTGTAGTGTACATGGTGATCCAGATGATTTGAAAGCTTCATGGTATTATCGTATATCATCAAAATCACGTTGGCAGATTATTGATAAACCATGTGTTGTTCCATTAGCATATGTTGAAGGAACTCAATCACCATCACCTCCATTACGAGATGGTACATTAGATCCCTTCAAGTTGGATGATAATATATCTTATGAAGGTCAAGATCAGTCAACTGATCAATTTATCAAGACTTCTATTCTAGAAACCAATCGAGATTGGAGTCCAAGTTTAGCCGACTGTCAAAGTTATGCTACAGAGGGTTTAGAAAGTGGTATATTATTTCGACAAGTAAGTGAATCAATCTTCACTTGCTTTCAATTATTCCTTGATTAACAGTAAAATTAAATATCATTTGCTTAGTATGCTTGCATCTTTATTTTCACTGTAATAATAATAATAATAATAATACATGCACCTTTATATGATGTAGTCTTCAGCGACATAACAAGGTATCTAGCCAGTGGGAGGCATCAATGAATTATTTTCTAGTTTTGAATGGTTCTGGAGACAACATCCTGCAAAGAAATCGATAAAAGTGTTGCTATATCATTGGGTAAATCCTTGGTGACCACTCCTCCCCAGTTAGTCTACTAGGATAAATGATCAATCAACTTAAGTCAGTCAGTCAGTCAGTCAAATTTTCTTGTGACGAAGAGGGATAGGATATCGAACACTTCCGAAGGAATTGCAGGTATTACCCATAGGCATCTAATAAAGTTGTATCAATCTATTATTATTATTATTTGTCCCTTGGGTTCTTAATGGAATATAGGGCTTCACTAGCACGTCTCCACTCCATTCTCATCTCTACAGTCTTTTGAACCTGGCACCATGACATCCCATAAGCTCTCATTTCTTCCTCACACCATTTCCCCCATGTCACCCTCACTTTGGACTCCCAACTCTTCGTTTCCCATCTGGATTCCACTCAAGTGCCTGACCTGGTGCGTGATGTCCACAAATGGTCTTCTCAGTGTATGCCCAATCCAATCCATCTCCACTTCCTTCCACTGCATATTTGTTGAGAGATAGGTTCTTGTTTCGTTGGTTCGTTGGCAGCCAGCCAGAGTTCGTTCTCATCTGATCTTCAGTGTCGAACCAGCGTAGGCAGTTGTTGATGAATATCTTTGGTTCGTTGGAAACGCTTTTCGTGATGCGCATAGTCCCTGAACCATATAGCAGCACTGAATTGACTGAATTAGTGTTAAAAATCCGGATGTTGTTGACGCTTTATGGTGAGTGGATTGCAGAAGATCTGCACATTGCTTTCAGGTTAATGAACGCCTGTCTTGTTGTCTTTCCGATGGTGACTGGCTTTGACGTCCTCGTCTGTGCCTGTGCCGTCTGTAGTTGAAACGATGTTGCATTGCCTAGATAGGTTAAAGAGGCTACTTCCTTTAGGTGTCTCTCACTGTTGGTGATTGTAGCTTGTTGTTGTTGTTGGTGGTATTGGCTTGGTACAATCATCACCTGTGTCTTCTCTACATTCACTTGAAGTCTCGTCTTCCTTCGCTACTCTGCCTCTTCTGTCAACTTGTTAGATTTTGTCTGTGGATCTTCGAGTCTGTTCGACATTAGATATAAGTCATCGGCGAAATCGAAATCTTCTAGGTTCTTTTCATCTGTTTAGTGTATCCTCCTCTCCTCGCTCCTCACTGTTTTCTGCACAATCTAGTCGACCACAATCCGGAATATCATGGATGATAGTACACAGCCTTGCCTTACTCTTATTAATTATCATTTTTTAAAAGTTCCTACTGATATATCACTACATCTAATGATACATTAGTTGCTGTCGGCAGATCGGCTACTTCAATGAATGCATCGATATTTCTTCGAGTTTCATTTCAATTTCTGCATCCTTGCATATTTGATGTGATTCCCGTTGGGGGTTCGAACACAGAACTCATCGCTTCAAACACTAAAGGATTATACATTAGAGTTTTGAGTCAAATCAGTCACCTCATCTTTTATGATTTCTACTACATAAAGTCAATCATAGTGTGTTAGCAAAAGAGAGTGAATGAGTGAACGAACAAAGCCAACCAATATCCATTGCAGAAAAGGACTTTTCATGACTATTTCGTTTGACAATTGGAATGATGAACTTCAGTTGTATTCTACTTTTACGTATCAGTTCTGACACATGTAACTTGGAATCTGATAAAAGCTTATTTTCACTGTGAAATGCGCTAACACCTTCAGCATACGATTATCTAGTATGATTCATAAGTGTCAAACTGTCACTTATTCCCTCACTCTCTGTCTCTCTTCGTCTGTAGGGTTTGTTAGTGTCTTGGTTGTATTGTGTTCTCTGAGGAGCTGGGTTGTTTGATCGTGAAGCTTTCATCGTCCTTCTAGACAGCGACATCATCAGCACTAACTTCAGTATGAAGGGAGCTGTCAATATCTCTCTGTGGGTGATTTAGTGGCTTGCTCTGACGATGTGGTCTGTCATTGGTTGTTTCCTTCCATTGCTGTGTCATTGACTGACTATATGGATTTTCCTGTTGGCTGTTCCTCTGCTTGACCTCTGACCTTTCGGTGATTTCTCATTTTTCTTATCGCTAGATAGATCGGGTCTATGTCTATACATCTATTGACTGCTGACTGACCTGAATGTCAAGCTTCTAGGAATTCTCTGATGACATTCTTTGTGTTTCCTCTCTCCATAACAGATTTCTACATTGTCGAAATTGAATTCATGTCCATAATTATCCACATGTATTGAAATGAGTGATGAGATGTTTAATAGCCAGTTGGTGTTCATGTAGACGAAGGCGAAGGTGGGTGACCACATTGTCCAATGAATGTAGTGTTGACTACAGTTATTCCAGTTGATTTTGTAAATGGTATTCGATTTGTCTTCCTTGGTTGTTGCATCATTTGGTCTGCATAATAGTGTTTGGAGGGAATTTGTTGTTTGATGACTGTCCACACGAATTCCACCAAGTGGTCTCAGTAATCTTGTTATGATTTCTGAGATATTCTTTATGTCCGGTAGGGATGATGCTTTTGTCGATTTCTGTCGATGACTTTGTAGTTGGTGATGCACGGGATAGGCATCTTGTGATAAAGTTTGTTGGGTAGCTGTTCTTCTTTAGGTTATAGACATGAAGTAATTTTCTTCATTTCACCGTGAAGTTGTTGGACTGCAGTGTGTTCTCGCTCTTTTGAATAGAGTCTGCACCCAACTGATTTTGTTTGTTGTTGGCTTGTTGCTATTGTAGTTGATGATAGGACCAGTCAGTATGTGTTGACTTCCTGCACACCTCGGCTTCCAGTTTTCCTGCATTTGTCCTCCTGACTAAAACATCCAGTAATGGTAGTTGGTTATTTGACTCTTTCTCCATTGTGAATTTGATGTCACTGAAAACGTTGTTGGTCAAACTGTGGGTGTTTTTCTATATCATCCTTTTTAATAATGATGAAAAAAGTGTCGTCTACATAGTGAATCCAAATTTTTGGTTTGATCACAGGTAGGAAGATAGCTTCTAGTCTCTGCACCATTGCTTCTGCAATTAATCCGGAAATCGGTGATCCCATTGGAGTTCCTTTCATCTGTTTGTATATCTTGCCATTGAATTGGAAGTATGTTGTCAGACAAAGGTCGATGAGTTCCATCAGACTTGAACATTGAAGTTTTGTTCGTTCTGAAAGGCTTGTGTTTTCAGTGAGCTGCAGGCACATAATTTCGTTGGCCAATTGGGGTTCAATGGATGTGTATAATGCTGTGACATCGAAGGATACCATTAATTCATCGTTTTCTATGTTAATACTTTCGGTCTTTTCCAAGAATTCTGTTGGTGACTTGATGGAATGTCCGCATAGTTGAACAAGGTGTTTCAGTTCTGTTGATATGTTGTATGTTAGAGTTCTGGGAAGTGTGACTATTGGTCGTAGATGGATGTCTGGTTTGTGTAGTTTTGATCTGCCGTAGAACCGAGGAAGGACAGGTCCATTCAATTTCATTCACCATATGTCTTGCCTTGTTATTTCTTCTTCTTCTTCTTCCTTGAATAGTTTGTTCAAGGTTTAATTGATGTGGTTGTCGAACGTTTTTGGATAGGGTTTGTTTCTGGTGTGATTGATATACATTTTGATCTTTGAGTAATTTTTCTGCCTTCTTGATGTGGTCTTGTTTGTCCATGACTACTGTAGTGCGTTCTTTGTCTTCTGGAAGTAATAACGATATCTTTCCTATGTTTCAGTCTTTTTAATATTTTCTGTTCTTGAGGGTTCATTTGAATATGATATCTCCTCTCCTTGGTTAGTGGTACGATTGTTTGCTGTATTTCTTGTTGAGTGACCTCATCTATCATCATGAATTGCACCATTTTTCTTCCATTTCGTTCAGCTGTTTTGTATCCCATTGGATAGTTAATCGGTGGTTTATATCTGACACTATTTGGCAAAGCATGTTGACGTAGAGGCATTTATAGAGAAATAATAATGATACTTTTGTAGAGATAACCTCTTGGAGAAGTTTTCCCATTTTTGGTTTCGATGCTTCTCTTGTGTTGTAATTCAATCCTTTTTGAATGAGAAGTCCTTCCTTGTTTATTCAGCGGTTGTTTTGATGAGTTGTTGACGCAGTCGTTTGTTTCTTCGGTTGTAGGTGCTTCTGAGATTCTGAGTAACTTTTTCTGAAAATGTTTCTTCGTTGTTCTTTGTATCGTCTGCTTGGTTTTTCAATTGCAGTTGTCAATGTTAGCTTGTGTTGCTCCATGAGTTGTAAGTGCATCACTTATTACGTCGTCATCCAATCAGATTGCTTGATTTGAAGGTCTTTCAATGTTCACATACCAATGACCAATCGTATTTAAGCTCAGCATAACATTTACAATAAAGCAGCTAGCGAATCAGAAACAGATGACGTAATCGATGGACTTTGTTTATTTTAATGTTTATCACGAACTGGCATCTATTAGAGACTTTAGGAGAACTGTATACATAGGTCCTGGGTTCGACCCCCGATGGGGCCTGCTATCGAAACGAGTCTGTCCCATACTTGGACGAAACAAGCTATCGAGTATTCCCAGGATTTATTTCCAGCATTATGTTTATTTTGTTGTTGTTGTTTATTGTTGTCATTACCTTCTTCTATGATTTTATCCACAGATTTCATATTTTAAACCAAATAAACGTGGATTAGATAAACAATTGCAATTTTTAAATCTTAAAGAAGTTCATATGGGTGAATATTTGTGTAAAGCATCAAATAAATATAATCGTGATCGACTAGGTCAACGTATTGAAGTGGAAGCATTTGTACGACTTACTGTTATCTGTAAGTTAACTATTCTTCATTGTTAAGAGTATAATTTCGGCATGATATATTTCTTTTTACATTATCATTTATTATTATTTGTCCCTTGGGTTCTTAATGGAATATAGGGCTTCACTAGCACGTCTCCATTGTTGTTGTTGTGGTGGTGGCGGTATTGGTTTGGTACAGTCATCACCTCTGTCTTCTCTACATTCACTTGAAGTCCCGTCTTCCTTCGCTGCTCTGCCTCTTCTGTCAACTTGTTGGATTTTGTCTGTAGATCTTCGAGTCTGTTCGACATTAGATATAAGTCATCGGCGAAATCGAAATCTTCTAGGTTCTTTTCATCTGTCTAGTATATCCCCTCTCCTCGCTCCTCACTGTTTGTCGCCTGATGCAGTTCACTACGTACAGGAATATCGTGATTAATAGTGGACAGTCTTGTTCTACCTGTGAACCTGTCTTCACTTCAAGGGCGTCACTGAGCTTCCCATCGTGGATCACTTGGCAATGTAGCGTCTTCATATAGTTGTTGAATGAGATTGATAAAGGTTTATGATATTCTGTAGTGTTGAAGCAGTTTCCCAATTATTTGTCAGTCGACGCTGTTGAAGACCTTTTCAAAGTCGCTAAAGTTGAGGTAGAGAGTTAACTGCCATTCTATACTCTGTTCTATGTTGATGCGAAGCGTTGCAATTTGGTCCGCACATTTGTTTTTATATACTGTTGGTATTTCCTTTCGCTTATGTTATGGTTATTTCGATTCTCTATGCTCCTGAAAGGTTGCTGGTGGTTATTACTTCCCTGCTGCTCACATTCGAGAGGATTCTACCGAGTACCTGCGAAGAAAGAGAGAAGGGATTAGATCTGTGTGATTGTGGAATTCATGGGACATTTACTTGAGGCGAGACAGTTGTTGCCTTTATTAAGAATGTTTGATTAGGATTTAATTGTACTCCGAAATACCATAGGGCACGGAATAGTGAGCTATTTTTAGGCTGAACTACTCTAATCCTTTGTTCCCACATCATCAGCAGCATGGATTGCTACTTATCCATGAAAAACACCTTACTGCTGTCTTATCCTATTATACCAGCGGTACGACTTCGCCATCAGACTAATATCATACTGTAACACTGACTACTTTCTGCTTCATCATTATTGAGCAACCTTCCTGACATACTAAGACCTCAAGGAATACAGGCGTTTCAGCAGCGTAGGTCATCGCTTCATTGTGGTGTGTGTAAGCCTTCGTTTATTTCCAAATATTGATGAAATTGTTTACATACATTCGTATAATACCAAATTACAATCTGGTGGGTATCCTTATGAAGTGGGGCGCAATTCGCCATATTTCAGTGAAAGGCATGCCGAGTAAGTACATCACCTTATTCAAGGCTCTCTACTCAAACACTTATGGCATGTTAGAGCCTATGGTGAATTGTCCAGGGAGCTATACTCATCTAGTGTTGTCCGTCAAGGATGCCCACTGTCTCCATACTTATTCAGTTTTATCATAGATATTCTTATGGAGGTCCCCCCTCCTCACCTAATTACACAGACGTTGACCTAATCACAGGAGAATTTTCGTTAGACCTACAATATCCAATAACCAACCAAGAACCTATCACCCAATAAATATTCAGAAGGAATGGAGATGGATTGGGCATACACTGAGAAGGCCGACTGGGGACATCACACGTCAGGCCCTTGAGTGGAATCCCATGGGAAGCGACGAGTCGGACGTCCGAGGGTGACATGGAGGAGATCGTGCGAGGAGGAAATGAGAGCTTGTGGGCTGTCATGGAGCCAGGTTCAAAAGATTTCAGAGAACAGAGTTCACTAGAGACGTGCTAGTGAAGCCCTATGTTCCATTAGGAACCCAAGGGACTAATAATAATAATAAATACAATATCCAGATGACATTGTCCTGTTGGGTGAAGACACTGACAAGGTACAGTGTCTTCTGAACACTTTGAGTGGGAATTTGAGAATGCTTGGGATGCGTTTCTCACCACCTAAATGCAAATTTTTGCTCCAGGACTGGTTTCAGAGGTACCACGGCTAACAATAGAGAGTGAAGTGGTTGAGTGTGTCGACCACTTCACTTACCCGGGAAGTAGGATTAACTCTGTTGGGTTAGTTGCCGATGAAATGGATACAAAAGGCTCGGATGATTTTTGCCAGTTTACGCCACCTGTGGGGTCGCTGTGATATCCGATTGTCTACTAAAGGTCGCGTATACTGCACAGCAGTCCTGTCTGTCCTACTGTATGGCTGTGAAACATGGCGATTGAAGGTGGAAGATATGAGGATGCTTCAAGTGTTTGACCACCGTTGCCTTCGTAGTGTAGGTCGTATTCCGTGTTGTCACCAGGTGAGTAATGCAGAAGTCAGGAGTAGAGTTTTAGGGAGCAGAGGTAAATCAGTTGACGAGGTTATGAACTTTCATCAACTGAGACGGTTGGGACACGTACTATGTATGCCTGGTGACCGATTGCCCCGTCACACAATGTTGGCTGAAGTAGGTCGAGACTGGAAAAAGGGTGGAGGTGGCCAGACTAAAACATGGCACGAATGTATGAAGTGTTTGACTGTTGGTTTCAGCCATGTGGGGCTATGCAAATACGAGGTGGTTGGGGTCAGTGGGACAAGAGGAACCAGTGGTTGGAGACTGTAAGTGATCACGTGGTTGAGAACCGAAGTTAGTGGTGTAGATGTATCCCACACACATTTCCTCATCTTAATGATGCTATACCGAATCTCACCATTTTGTCATTCCTCTTTTCTTTCTTCTCGTACTTTATATTTCCTTTGACTGTATTCTCTTATCTTCATCCTTCACCTCACTACCTTTCTACTTGATGTATTGATATGAGGTGTGGTGGTAACTGGGACCGTTATGCAGTAATGCCTGATCCTATGTTGATGTTGATTGATTGATTGATTGACATCTAAACAAATGGGATAGGGGACAGTGAATAAATGAAGATAATACTATCAGAATTCATTGAAATTCATAGCATCAAATGAAATGAAATGACCATCCGTAGGTTTTTTTTGTCAATATGGTGGCCTTACTCCAGTTAACATAACTCGTTAGCGCAGATGATAATTAGTCACGTGGAACATGTGTTAACCACCTCATCAACTGATTAACCTTTTTTTGTGTATTTGTAGGGTTTTGTAGCCAATCTATACGTCGCCTACGCAGTGGGGTATTCTTATCATAAGAAAGTAGTGCTAAAAAGGAGACAGTAAGATGCATACTTAGGGTTTTGTTCAATCCTCTGCGTCCTATAAATCCCACATTCCACAACTGTATGGAAAGACAAACTGGACTACTATTCGGCACTTTACGTAGACATTTAGATGTCTCACAAGATTATTCATAGGTTCGGTTATTCATCTTTTCTTTATCCCTGAGATAACTGTGGGCAGGATGGTTGACCTGATCAGAAAATTTAGGTAATGACTAGATTCGAAGCAGCAGTTTTACCTTTGAAAGGAGAGTTATGTCATGAAGATGTGTGTATGTATATCCACCGATCTATGTATATGTTTACATGCCTATAATTCAGTGTGTTTACGCTTTGAAATGAGTCCAAATTATCTATTGTTATTGTCTCTTAAAGTGAGACTTTTGTCAACCAATTTACAGGCATGTTAGCGAAATTCTCCAACCATTCATTTCTATCATCTCATGGGACTGTAATCAGGTAGTCTACGTCTAATATGACTAATACTAAGAGTTAGGGACTTCACGGATCGGTACTCTGTCTTAGTCTGATCATCCTGAGTCTTTTTCTAACGTAATCGACTTCTTCTAGCACTGCCCATGAAAATGCACAACACATATCCAAGACATCTCAGCTGATGAAGGTTAATCAACTCATCAATCGCCCTGCCTGTCTTGTCTATTACCATTTGCCTAACCTCAGTGTTTTCTTCACTCTATGATCCCGCAAAACGCGAGCAATGCTAAGAAGACACCTATGATCAAAACCCTGTGACCGCTTCATGTGTTCCACTTTTACCAGCCATGTCTCACAGTTGTACAACAGAACGAACTGCTAGACAGTACAGTATACTCTTCGTTTGATTGATAGTCGTATATTTTATCAAATGGTGCTACAGATGACGCAAGTTGGCAAATGCCTAATGAACCTTCTGTATCCGAGCTGAGATTTCACCAACAACTAGACCGTTCAGGTTGACACACCTCTCCAAGTTAGTGAAGTGGTCGACATATTCCGCCATTCCACTGGAAACACTTACTGCATATCAGTCCTGGAGCATTATCTTACATTTGATAGGTTCGAAATGTGTGGCAATCATACTCAAATTTCTACTCAAGGCGTTCAGAGGACCGTACATTTTATCACCATCTTCACTTAGGAGGACAATGTTGACTGTGTACTCGGTTAATTCAACCAGGAGAACTATGATTTATTAGTGAGCAGTATTCAACTGTGTATTCTACTTGAATTGATCTGGTAATTCTTTTTATTTCTAAATTGAAGTATCAATAAGCTGAAGTAGGAATCGATTGAAATGAGGCTTAAGAAGACCAGAACAAGATGTGACCCCAAGCGATAAAATCTCTGATTTTTGGCTTAAACTGTGTAGCAAGGTGTAAACTGATATCTGACTAGAGCTCTCATGATGATATGAAACTGTGGTTGAAAAATTTCCGGTCACATGACTGAAAATAAGGTCTCTGTCCTCTTATACACTTTTGTCGATTTAAATATCATTATGTTTTTCGATCAATTTGCTTCAAGTTGTTATTCATCGTAGACTGACATCAGTTGGAGGAACAATGGAAACTTGGGAGCACTGAACAGCTGTTTCGCCCAACTAGTATGGGACTCCTCGTCAGTGCGCACTCACGACCCGCACCACCAGGGATCGAACCTGCGACCTTCAGGTTCCGTGGCCAGCGCGTTACCATTGAGCTAGCCACTGGGTCAGAATCCATCATCCATATGTCAACTTCTGTTAGCTCAAAATTCAATTGAACTGGTGCTCACTGGTGACTAGCTTCGAGCGGTATTCCCTAAGTTCCAATGAGAAGTCGTAGTCGGTGGGGACAAAGCCTGATGGTCGTGAGGACAGTTACTCAACGATGACATTAGGTGGCGGTTGCTCTATATCGTGAGCTAACAGATGTTGGAAATATGGACGACTGGATTTTGACCCAATGGCTAGCTCAATGGTAACGTGGTGACCACGGAAGCTGAAGGCTATGGGTTCGATCCCTGGGGGATGGGGGTCGTGGGTGTGCACTGCTGAGGGGTCCCACACTAGTCGGACGAGACGGCTTTCCAGTGCTCCCAGGTTTTCTTTGTTCCTCCAACTGATGTCGGTCTACGATGAATAACAACTTGAAATATATCTAAATCCCCACAACTCCCTCAAAGATCAATTTATTGTTGACATACACCCATGTGGAATGTGAAAAGTTGAACCGATGAGCTTCTCTTTCAAGGCGACTCTCCTTTGATTTGTCTATCTATCTGATTCATATGTACAGTATCAATTGAAGTTAGAAGAGCAGCTGACTCAGGATTCCTCGAACTACCTGATGAATCAGGCTTCCAGCTCAGTGCTGATCATTCATCTATTATGTGAGATCATCGTTTGAAAAATAGGGAGCTCTCACATTCAATTTCATCAAAAAGCGTGTCAGTGTATCTTTTGTAAGTTATACTCACTCACTCATTAATTTTTCTTTTCTTTGTTACTTGTTTTCTATTCAGCTGTTCCTGATTCTGTTCAATTTGTGTATAATAGTTCACGGACTACAGCAACTAGTGTTTCCTTTTCATGGTTACCACCATTACGTGATGGTAATAAACCAGTACGCCAGTATCGTATACGCTATTCACATTCTGAGTCAAGTACTAATCAACCAGTGTCATCTACACAACAGGTAATAATTTACTGTATTTGTATATATGATCAGTATTTTGTTGGCTGTGAAATGGTGGAGAATGTTTGTAACTCACATGGATCGTCTTGTATGTATTATGTTCTCTGAGCTGGGTTGTTTAATCGTGGAGCTTTCAGTAATGTTTTCAGTGACATCAGATGAACAATGAAGAAGCGGTTGTATAAACAACTAACATTCCTGAATATTTTAGCCAGTAACACAAATCGCCAGAAAGCTGGAGACCCAAGTGTACAGGAAGCCAACACACGCTAACTGATCCAATCCTCAACTACACTACCAACGACATAACAACATACAAAATTATTTCCGTCCACACCCTACACCACATTGTCCAATGAATGTAGTGTTGACTACAGTTATCCAGTTGATTTGTAAATGGTATTCGATTTGTCTTCCTTGGTTGTTGCATCCTTTGGTCTGCATAATAGTGTTTGGAGGGAATTTGTTGTTTGATGAGTCGCCACACCAATTCCACCAAGTGGTCTCAGTAATCTTGTTGTGATTTCTGAGATATTCTTTGTGTATGGTAGGGCGATGCGCTTGTTGATTTCCGTTGATGACTTTGTAGTTGGTGATGCACGGGATAGGCATCTTGTGATAAAGTTTGTTGGGTAGCTGTTCTTCTTTAGGGTATAGACATGAAATAATTTTCTTTGTTTCTCTTTGAAGTTGTTGTAGTGTAGTGCAGTGTGTTCTCGCTCTTTTGAATATAGTCTGCACCCAACTGATTTTGTGTGTTGTTGGCTTGTTGCTATTGTAGTTGAGGATTTGACCAGTCAGTATGTGTTGACTTCCTGCACACTCGGCTTCCAGCTTTCCTGCATTTGTCCTACTGACTAAAACATTCAGGAATGGTAGTTGGTAGTTGTTCGATTCCTTCTTCATTGTGAATTTGATGTCATTTATGAGAACGTTATTGATGAAAGTGTGAATGTTTTCCACATCATCTTTTTTAATGATGACAAGAGTATGGATGATTGTTTTACAGTTCTGAAATTGGAAAACATCAATAGGCTGTCGAGACATACAGTCCGATTCACTCATGACTTAGAAAGTGATGAAGGTGAGCTAACAAATATTGGATTACAAGATTAAATGAACATAAGACGGAAGTTTAAAGAAAAGCTTACTGGTAGACCAGGAAATTTATGACAAGTAATTAGATACATAAAGAAAACCTTACTCGTCTCAATAATTATGCATCTAAGTTTATAATTAAATTCATAAGAAATCAGAAGACAAATATTAACAGTAGTGGTAGTAGAAGTGATACAGAGGTTGCTGATAACAATTCTACTGATGATGGTGACATGGTTGAGAGTGAATTCAAAGCCTCTGCTGTATTATCATACAAGGAAGGCACCTCAGAAGAGTTCTCAATAACACTGACTGGGATTGAAGTTACATTTAAACCAACAAGCTCAAAGCTTAGAAACAAGTTACGTGGGTTACAGGATGCTGTTGATGCAATTAAGAAAAATCATCTAGTTTGCAATGATTGTGAGGTCAAATACGTAGGTGAGTCAGAATAGTCGACTAGAATAACAGAGCACAAAACCTTAGCTAAATCAAGATATCTAGACCCTAATAAGATCAGGAATCTAGAGAGAAGCTCGGCTATAATTCTGGACGCAATTACACACCATCACACAGTAGGGTGGAATAGAGCGACAATGTTGAAAACTAACTTCATTGTATGAAGGCGGGGGGAGAGATTGATAAGCGACTGAATCTCTCCTTATGGAATCAACACTAAATACATACAGTAGTAGAAGTGATTCTACACCTGTATCAGATCTATAGACGATTCAACTACCCTTGTCGTCGTAGAGAAGAAGAGAAAATTGTGGAGTTACCTACTGATATGACTATGGACAGTAAATTGTGTCCTCAAGGTACGTTATCCAGTGAATGATACTGTCCCTTCACTGTGCGTGACATTTCTAATAAACAGACTAAAATGCAATCACGATCTCGCACGGTACCCAACTTTGACTCTAATATTAATGCTTCTGTCTACCTTAATTACCAAATTCTGCTAACAACACTTCTCCTTACGGTGTTTCAAAGTGTTGCGGATTGGTTGATTATCATCCAGTTATTATTATTGTTTTCCCCCTGGGTTCCTAATGAAACATAGGGCTTCAGTAGCACATCTCCATTTCACTCTGTTCTCTGCAATCTTTCAAACCTGGCTCCACGACGGCCCATAAGCTCTCATTTCTTCCTCATACGATCTCCTCCATGTCACCTTCACCTCGGACGCCCAACTCGTCGTTTCCCATCTGGATTCCACTCGAGTGCATGGCCTGGTGTGTGATATCCTCAAATGGTCTTCTCAGTGTATGCCCCAATCCATCTCCATTTCCTTCCACTGCATATTTGTTGAGTGATAGGTTCTTTCTTCGTGGTTCGTTACCTGAGTTCCTTCTTGCTCATTCTTTCTGTCCATCTCATCTGAACTTCAGTAAGGTTCCAGCGTAGTGGCAGTTGTTGATGAATATCTGTAGTTTGTTGGAAATGCTTTTCTTGATGCGTCAAGTTTCTCAACCATATAGCAGCACTGACTTGACTGAATTAGTGTTGAAAATCCGGATGTTGTTCATGCATTGTGCTGAGTGCAGTAGATTTCCACACCGATTTCAGATTAGTGAAAGCATCTTGCTTTTCCGATCCTGTCTGGTTTTGACATCGACGTCTGTGCCTGTGCCGATGCCTGTAGTTGAAACGATGCTGCATTGCCTAGATAGGTGTAGGTGAAAGAGACTACTTCCTTTAAGTTCCTCCTGTTGATGGTGATTGGAGGTTGCTGTTGTTGTTGTTATTGTTGGTGGTGGTGGTGGTGATGGTGATGGTGATGGTGTTGGTTGGGTATCTTCATCATCTCTGTCTTCTCTACTTTCACTGGAAGATTATCATCCAGTATTATATCCTAAACATGGTATAACAAACCCACCAAGAAAGAGTACAACATTTCTGAAGACACAAAGTGAAGGGAAGTGGATAAAAAGAAAACCATAATAAGGATAACCTGATTAGAAAGAAAGGCTGTCCAGTGAGATACATTCAAAACGCCAGCAGAAGATAGATGGAATCTACAGTATAGTTTTGATTTTCACTTCGATTGCAATAATCACTAATAACTAGGAAAGTAATCCATAACACAACTATTACACAATCGAAAGGCAGTACAATCCAATCGAAGGAAACGACTAATTACATACACAAATATTATGATAATTCCATTCAATTGGCTTAACTTAAAACGTAATTATTTCGCAATCATGAATCGTACGGAATTGAGTAGTAAGGCGTTAGTAAATAACTCTTGAGCTGATCTATACAATGCTACTATAAACCATGTATTAAGTAGAATGTCTTTTTTCCCAATAGATAAGATAATACGACCAAGAGGATGCTTGTCTGAGATACTCATTTTCATTCATTCATTTTTTTTTGGCTGCGTCATATACCGGTGAATTTGTTTACTTCCTATAGACACATTTTTTTTAGAAACTAGTATTCATCATGGACTGACATCCGTTGTGGAACCATTGAAAATCTGGGAGCACTGGACAGCTGTTTCGTCCTAGTATGGGACTCCTCAGCAGTATAAACTCACGACTCGCCTAGGGCTCGAACTCAGGATCTTCAGATTACATGGCGTACGTTTCATGGGTGCATACTGCTGAGGAGTCCCACATTAGGACGAAACAGCTGCCCATTGCTCTCAGATTTTCAATGGTTCCCCAACTGATGTCATTCCATGATGAATACTACTTCTAAATTAAAAAAAATATCCCCACTCATCTCAAAAATACATTTTTTTATTCATTTGTTCGTTTGTGTGTGTGTGTGCGTGTGTGTGTGTGTGTGTGTGTAGCCAAATGTCACGGAGATTGATGTGCCTGAAAATCAACATCGTATCGAATTGAATAATCTTCGACCTTATACAAAATATCATATCACTGTTGCCGCGATCAATGATGTCGGTCCAAGCGTTGAGAATGCTTTGGCGCTTACTACCCAAGAAGCTAGTAAGTTGTTTTGATTGGTTATTATTTTATCATTAATAGTCCCTTGTGTTCCTAGTGGAACTTAGGGATTCAGTAGCACGTCTCCATTCCACTCTCTTCTCTGCGATCTTTCGAACCTGGCTCCACCACTGCCCAGATGCTCTCATTTACTTCTCATATGATCTCCTCCATATCACCCCCACCTCGAACTCCCAACTCGTCGTTTCCCATCTGGGTTCCACTCGAGTGCCTGACCTGGTGCATGATGTCTCCCAATGGTCTTCTCAGTGTATACCTAATCCAATCCATCTCCACTTCCTTCAAGTGCATATTTGTTGAGAGATAGGTTCTTGTTTCGTTGGTTCGTTGCCATATAGCTAGAGTTCCTTCTTACTTATTCTTTCTTGCCTACCCATCTGATCTTCAGTAAGGAGCCAGTGTAGACAGTTGTTGATGAATATCTTTGGTTCGTTGGAAACGCTTTTTGTGATGCGCAAAGTCCCTGAACCATATAGCAGCACTGACTTGACCGAATTAGTGTTGAAAATCCGGATGTTGTTGACGCTTTATGGTGAGTGGATTGCAGAAGATCTGCACACTGATTTCAGGTTAATGAAAGCCTGTCTTGCTCTCTTTCCGATGGTGGCTGGCTTTGACTTTCTCGTATATGCCTGTGCCGTCTGTAGTTGAAACAGTACTGGCTAGATAGGTGTAGGTGAAAGAGGCTACTTCCTTTAGGTGTCTCTCACTGTTGGTGGTTGGAGCTTGTTGTTGTTGGTTGAGTATCTACATCACCTCTGTCTTCTCTGCATTCACTTGAAGTCCCGTCTTCCATCACTTCCCTGCCTCTCCTGTCAACTTATTGGTTTTCACCCCTCCTCTCACTCTTTGCTGTTTGTTGGATGATCCATTCCACCACAATCTGAAATATCATGGATGATATTAGACGGCAGCCTTGTCATACCCCTGTCTTCATATCAAAGGCATCACTGAGCTTCCCATTGTGAATTACTTGGCATATGCCGTCTTCATATAGTTGTTGAATGAGGTTGATAAAGGTTTGTGGTATTCCGTGGTGTTGAAGCAGTTTCCAAATTACTTGTCGGTCGACGCTTTGGAAAGCCTTTGAAAGTCGATGAAGTCAAGGTAGGTAGAGAGTCGACAAGTTGTTTTGATTACTTCTGATTAATTTCTTTATCAGAAATTATCTTCTATGGACTGAATGATTACTATATTCTTCATTATTTCATCCTATTTCGCCAATCTCGTTAACTATTATACTAAAGTGAGTTGGTCAGCCACCATTGCCTGGGACATAGGCCCCTGAAGGAGGTACCTCAAAGTTTATTTTGTTGCTGTATGGTTGGTTATGGCTAGCAGTGGAATCTAAGAGGCTCATTCCATGCTGTTTGGGACTCGTCAGCTAGATGTATCTGCATCCTGGAGAATGTTGATGTTCCTGCTCGGGACTCGGACACAGGACCCATCGCTTCGAGCGCCAGACTGTTCTCTGCTAGACTGATGAGTTGTGGAAACCACTCCTTGTCACAGTGGTTATCATTTTGATATCTATTCATACTTGTAGTTTTCCGTTTATTCCATATACCGAAGGTGAGTGCTGTGACTTAGCAGCTTATTGGTTAACGTTTTGAGGTTCAAAGCCTTGGGAACGCATTTCGACTCCCAGTGGGAACACTACTGCTCAATTGGATGCAGATCCATCCAACTGATGAGTTCCAAATGGGTCAAAGAGGTCATCTTGGATTCCTTTGTTAACCACTAACAAGGAAATAACATAAATGCCAATATCTGTTTACCTGTTATTTTTATTATTTGTCCTTTGGGTTCCAAGTGGGGAACATAGGGCTTCGGTAGAAAGTCACCGTTTCATTCTCTTCTCTACAGGCCTTTTAACCTGGCTCCATCACTGCTCATAATCTTCTTGTCTGAGATTTGTCCTACTGACAAAAAGCAAATGCAGGAATGGTAGTTGGTTGTGCAACTGCTTCTTCATTGTTCATCTGATGTCATAGAAAACGTTGTTGATCAAAGTGTGAGTGTTTATTATATCATCTTTTTATGATGACGAAAGTATCGTCTACATAGAAAATCCAAATTTTTGGTGAAATCAACAGGTAGAATGATCTCGGTGATCCCATTGGAGTTCCTTTCTTCATGTGTCTGTATTCTTGCCATTGAATTGGAAGTATGTTGTCAGATAAAGGTAATGAGTTCCATCAGACTTGAACATTTGAGTTGTGTGCGTCATGAAAGGTTTTTGTCTCATTGATCAGGAGGGATATCGTTTCTCGGCCAATTGAGGTTCAATGGATGTGTATAATGCTGTGACATCGAAGGATACCATTAATTCATCGTTTTCTATGTTAATACTTTGGTCTTTCCTAAGAATTCTGTTGGTGACTTGATGGAATGTCCGCATAGTTGAACAAGGTGTTTCAGTTCTGTTGATATGTTGTATGTTAGAGTTCTGGGAAGTGTGACTATTGGTCGTAGATGGATGTCTGGTTTGTGTAGTTTTGATCTGCCGTAGAACGAGGAAGGATAGTCCATTCAATTTCATTCACCATATGTCTTGCCTTGTTATTTCTTCTTCTTCTTCTTCTTTGAAGAGTTTGTTCAAGGTTTAATTGATGTGGTTGTCGAACGTTTTTGGATAGGGTTTGTTTCTGGTGTGATTGATATACATTTTGATCTTTGAGTAATTTTTCTGCCTTTTTGATGTAGTCTTGTTTGTCCATGACTATTGTAGTGCGTTCTATGTCTACTGGAAGTAATAACGATATCTTTCCTATTTTCAGTCTTTTTAATATTTTCTTTTCTTGAGGGTTCATTTGAATATGATATCTCCTCTCCTTGGTTAGTGGTACTATTGTTTGCTGTATTTCTTGTTGAGTGACCTCATCTATCATCATCAATTGCACCATTTTTCTTCCATTTCGTTCAGCTGTTTTGTATCCCATTGGATAGTTAGTCGGTGGTTTATATCTGACGGTATTTGGCAAAGCATGTTGACGTAGAGGCATTTATGGAGAAATAATAATGATACTTTTGTAGGAGATAACCTCTTGGAGAAGTTCTCTCATTTTTGAATAATGTGAAGCGTGTTACGCTCGTATGTTTTTTGAAATAGTGGAGGATATTTGTAGCTCAGGTGAATGGTCTTGGTTGTATCGTTTTATCTGACCTGGGTTGTTTAGTCATGAAGCCTTCATCATCTTTCTAGAATAAACTATTACTGGTTTCAAAATGCTTCATCTTATGTCATCATAATTGAATCATAGAATAGAAGTAATTAACTGTTTCATTGGTTTGTATAATTATTTTTTACACTTTATATTTATCTTGGTAATAAAGAACCAGATGGTCCAGTCCAAAATCTCATAGCCAATGGAACTGCCTCAGATACAATTGTAGTCAGTTGGGATAATCCTGCTCCAGAACATTTAAATGGTAATGTAGATCGTTATTGGATATGTCGACAACGTATAAAGGATAGTTTAACTAGTGAAGAATTAACTGAACTACCATGGCCTGAAGATCCAAATGATGAACATAGGTAAGCTTTATTGTACGTTATTATTATTATTATCGTCGTGTGTTTAGAAGCGTAGCCTTTACAGTTCACTAATTTGGATTAACTTATTCTAATATTCAATGTTAAATATACAATGAAGATGTGTAATGTATATCGGACTTATTTGTATTCAGCGATGCTTTCGAAACAATCCATGGCTTGCTACGGAATCGAAAGGTGTACTAATCGCAGCACCTAAGTTATGTAACTAACTATAGTCAAATTATATCATGAGGTTTGTGGAGGTTTATTTAATTGATTTTAAATTGGAATTCATCATGGAATGACATCAATTGGAGGAAGATTGGAAAACTGGGAGAAGTGAACAGCTGTTTCATCCTAGTATGGGACTCCTCAGTAGTGCATACCCACGACTCCACCCCGTCAGGGATCGAACTCACGACCTTCAGGTTCCATGGCCAGCACATTATCATTCAGCCACTGGGTTGGGATCCAGTGGTCCATACCTCTGTCAGTTCATGATATAGCGTGACTTACATCCAATGTCATCGTTAGTAACTGTCCTTATCTTCCACTTGCTTCACTCCACTGGTCACGTCACAACTATTCATTGGAACTTCGGGAATCACCCTGGAAGTTAGTCACCAATGAGCGCTAGATTAATTCAATGTGGAGGTTTGTGGAGGTTTATTAACTGATTTTTAGGTTGGATTCATCATAGACTGACATCGATTGGAGCAGAACTGGCTAAATGGTAAAGTGCTGGCCACGGAACCTGAAGGTCATGAGTTCGACCCCTGAGAAGGCAGGTCGCGGGTGCGCACTCGGACGAAACAGTGGCTGTTCAATGCTCCCAGGTTTCCAATATTTTTTCAACTGGTATCAGTCTATAATATATTCCAACCTATACTCAAATTTGTTAGATATGGTTTTTTAAAATGAAACAAAAAACGTACCTAGTGGTTCACAGCTTTTCTTCGAGTTACTGAATACCTAAAATTGCTTAAAACATTATCTGATTGTTAAGGCATCACAGATACACTCGTACACACATACACACACATCGTTGCACGTAGTACATGCATAGGAGAAAGGTGTATTACGTTTTGTACACGCATCAACCAGTACTGTTCTATTCAATACTCTTCCAATTGACTGACAAGTCTTCTGATTAGCCTAAAATAGTTTATATTTTCCTCAAGTAATGAAAATTTTTTGTAGAAATGTTAAAAAGTATACCATATGTGGCGTTTTTTCTTCCATAAGACCAGACATTATTATTATTACTGGTACTGTGATTTCATGTTTGATTGACAGTCGACTGACTGACTGACTATGTGCCAATGTAGAATTGTTATGATTCCGAGCTTGTGTAAATATCATTCCCTTTGTGAAAGATAATTCTCAAAATAATAACATCCTGTAAATTTATAAAGAATGGAAAATGAAGACAAAGGAACCAGTCTAGCTAGACAATCAGTTAACATTCGACCTAATATTACTGTGTACGGCGGTTCGAAATACCACATCCTGACATCAACACATCAAGTTATGAGATGTTAAGATAATAGAAAAAAAATAGAGAAATACATAAGAAGGTAATAAAAAGTTTTCATTTTTTTATATTCTGTTTATACTTTGAAGTTTCTTTAGCGGTTGGATTGGTTTTACGTGGTAATGTTGCTAGCCCTACGCCCAACCTTCCCTCTTTACCTGAGCTTAGGACCGGCTAGTAACTAGTGAACTAGTTAACCAAGGCGAGCGTCCATCAACGGGAGAAACTTAAGGGAAGTAGTCTCTTTCACCTATCTAGGCAGCATCGTTTCAACTACAGGCGGCACAGACGAGGATGTCAAAGGCAGCCAGGATCGGAAAGACAGCAAGACAGGCGTTCATTAGCTTGAAACCAGTGTGGAGATCTTATGCACTCAGCATATGAAACAATATCCGGATTTTCAACACCAAAGTGAAGTCAGTGCTTCTGTATGATGGTTGAGAGACTTGGCGCGTTACGAAAAGCATTTCCAACAAACTACAGATATTCATCAACAACTGACTACACTGGCTCCTTACTGAAGATCAGATGAGAAGGCGAGAAAGAATAAGCAACAAGGAACTCTGGCTGGCTGGCAACGAACCAAAGAAGCAAGAACCTATCACTCAACAAATATGCATTGGAAGGAAGTGGAGATGGGTTGGACTGGATATACACTGAGAAGGCCATTTGGGGACATCATGTGGCAGGCCCTTGAGTGGGATGGGAAACAACGATTTGGGCGTCCCAGCTGAGGATGACATAGAGGAGATCGTATGAGGAAGAAATGAGAGCTTGTGGGCCGTCGTGGAGCCAGGTTCAAAAGACGGCAGGGAAGAGAGTTGAATGGAGACGTGTTACTGAAGCCCTATGTTCCATTAGGACCTCAAGGGACAAATATATATATAATATATGATAAGAGGTTGAATATTTTATCTCAGATGAAAATAAAGTGCGAATATATCTACATTAATGAGGTTAATTTTCTCAATTGTATCACCCAGAGTCATCAAGTATCGATTTCACTTGTCACAGAGTAAATTATTTGCACTATATTATCAGACTAACTTAAATCGTGTTTCTTTAGGATGATAGTAACCTCAGGGAGAGAATGTTTATAAAATAAACAGAATCGTTAGAGATCCCTAGCTCTTATAGACCCAATTCGATGGGCACAGAGTAGAATTGACGGCACTGACATGTTGTGTCCTATATATATTGTTTACAAACAGAGTCATGCTAGGATGGCTCTGAATGTCATGCAGACTGGCATATTATTATTATTATTTTATTATTTGTCCTTTGGGTTCCTAGTGGAACAAACGGCTTCATTAGCACGTCTCCATTACACTCTCTTCTCTCCAGTCTTCAAAACCTGGCTCCACCACTGCTCATAACCTCTCATTTCTTCCTCACACGATCTCCTCCATGTCACCCTCACCTCAGACGCCCAACTCGTTTCCCATCTGGGTTCCACTCGAGTGCCTGGCCTGGTGCGTGATGTCTCCAGTCGGCCTTCTCAGTATATATCCAGTCCAATCCATCTCCACATTCTTCTAGTGCATATTTGTTTGGCGATGGGTTGTTGGTTGGTTCGGTAACAAGCCATTGTTCCTCCTTACTTATTCTTTCTGGCCACCTGATCTTATCTTCAGTATCGAGTGAGCGTAGGCAGTAGCTGTTGATGATTGTCTGTAGTTTGTTGGAAATGCTTTTTGTAACGCTCCAAGTTTCTGAATGAACCATATAAAAACCCTGAGTTGACTGAATGAGTGTTGAATATCCGGATATTGTTGTTTATACTGAATGTAGTAGATGTCCACACTGATTTCAGGTTAATGAAGGCCTATCTTGCTTTTATGATGCTGGCTTTGACATCCTTATCTGTTCCGCCTGTAGTTAGACTGGTGCAAACTGGGATATACCGCTCTGGACTTCAATATTCGATCGAAAATCTCATCAGTAGTCACTTATAGAACTATTTAAGTACACAAACGTTTCGACTACTTAAATCAGTTCATCGCTAAATTGATTGGAATCACAGTATTCTATGAATCTTATCATTTACCATATTCACTTATTCACCCGTGGTTTACTTAAAGCAGAGCGGAAAACGTTTTAATGAAACATCTTGACCTGTGAAGCAGACCAAATTGGAGATAAAGAAGGAATACTCAACAATCACCTTGAACAATAATCCAACACCAGTCGTTCAATGGTTAACATGTACGCCACAAAAACTTGAAGCTGCTAGGTTAAATGTCTACTGAGGTGGTATGAACTTCTAAAGATTGCCATATTAGAGCGAAACAGATGTCCCCTGGTTTCAGGTTTTCAATTTTTATCTAACTACGATGTCACTGCATGATGAATACCACCTTGAAATCAATAAATTCATGCAATCTTTAAACAGAAAATGTTTTCATTTATTGTTTGTTTGATGTGTGTGTTTAGTGAAATTGAATAGTGATTATTATTACTATTATTATTATCATTACTGTTACTAAATTCTTTACTCCCCATTAATTATAGTACATCAATGCGTGGTCGTTATAGTCGTGTACACTGTAGTATGATTATTAGACAAATGGATCATGAAATCACTGGTCTACCAAAATTTACTGCCTATGCTTTTCGAGTTATTGCTATGAATAGTAAAGGTGCATCCCCACCAGCTTATACACAGACAAGAACATTGGAAGATTGTAAGTTTACACCAATTGGTGATAATCCATATTCCTTAACAATTCCCATATTGTGTTGTAATACATACTCAGAGAAAGTAGTTGACTTTCAACTCTCACTAGACTTCATTTGTAGCATTAACGACCTTTTAAATGAAGCTGGAGAAAAAGCTCCGCTACAGGTATGTACACAATTCCATAATACGATGGGATAGAGTAGCAGTATTAAGAAACATTTAACTTAGTAGAACTTAGAGAGTGATTGATAATCGAATCTCTGTTTACCGAATCAACACCAAATGCACACAGTAATAGAAATGAGTCTACACCTGTCCAAGATACATGAAAAATCCTACTATCCTTCTGACAAAGAAAGAGAGAAATTTGTTGAATGAAAGTGATCGATAGGTACTTTTTGGCACTCATCAGCACAGCAATTACTTCAGCGTTTACGGAACTGAATAGATACGTTCGGAATGACCCTGAAGAATACTAAATTCACTGATAAGTGAAAAGAGTTAACAACCAATGAGAGTCCAACCTTCAGAGGTAGTGGAGAAAACAAAAGGTAACAACGGGACTAAGATGGAGTGAAAACACTAATTTTATTATTTATTATTTGTCCTTTAGGTTTCTAGTGGGACATACAGACTCAATAGCACGTCTCCATTTCACTCTATTCTCTACAGTCTTTTGAACCTGACTCCACCACTGGCCATAATCTTTCATTTCTTTTCACACCATTTCCATGTCACAGTCAGATGCCCAACTCGTCGTTTCCTATTTGACTTCCACTCGATAGCCTGACCTGACACGTGATGTCCCCAAATGTTCTTCTCAGTGTATGTCCAATGCAATCTATCTCGACTTCCTTCTGAATATTTGTTGGGCGATGAGTTTTTGGTTACTTCATTAGCAGGCCATTGTTCCTCCATGCTTATTCTTTCCCACCTTCTTATTTGATCTTCAGTATCGAGTGAGCGTAGGCGGCAGTTGTTGATGAATAAATAAATATTTTATTTCAAGTTGTTATTCATTGTACACTTATATCAGTTGGAGGAACAAAGGAAACCTGGAAGCACTGGCCAGCTGTTTCGTCCGACTAGTATAGGACTTCTCAGCAGTACGCACCCACGACCCCACCAGGAATCGAACCCGCACATTGGTGACTAGCTTTGAGAGGTATTCCTGAAGTTCCAATGAGAAGTCGCGACTGGTGAAGTCAAAGCCTGATGGTCGTGAGGACAGTTACTCAACGATGACATTGGGTGGCAGTTGCCTATATCGTGAGCTAACAGAAGTTAGAAATATGGACGATTGGATTGTGACCCAGTGACTAGCTGAATGGTAACTTGCTGGCGACGGAACCTGAATGTCGTGGGTGCGTACTGCTGAGGAGTCCCATACTAGTTGGACGAAACAGCTGGCTGTCGAGTGCTAGTAGGTTTCTTTTGTTCCTCAAACTGATGTCAGTCAGTCTACAACGAATAAAACTTGAAATATTTCCAAATTTCCACAACTCCCTCAAAATATTTTATTCTCAAATTAAGAGTTTAACATGAGAGAAGCCAGTTTACGGGTATCATCAAATTGATAATGGTAAAGAAATCTCCAATAGTTGAGCGGTCCTGAATGATAGAGTAGGTATTGGATCAAAGTTTATCATGATATCAAAAGTGACTGCAGGTTATGATAATAAGAGAAAAATACCACTTCCCAGTACATACACTGATTGTTTATAAGCCTCTGATGTCTCGACTCACCATTCTTTTTTCACATTAAGTGATATCAAAATCGTACAATATTCGACGTTTGCATTACATGTGATCTGGATGGTTAACCCTGGCGGTATAGTTCCGTCTTTTGTCAGATAAACGTTATTTTAACATCAGTTCTTCACATGTTTATAGTATCGTTGGCCAACGAAAACTCACTTTATCAATTTCAGGTAACATTAAGTGTTAGCCTAACCATATAATTCACGTGAGTATATAAGTCCTCGCATTTCCCACTCGTACTGTGACCTTAATCAGCAGCACAGGTGTAATCCATCGAAATTAGTTGTTGCTGTACAAAAAAAAGAAACATTTGAAGGACTATTATCCGATGGTGATGGAATTTCGCGCCTAGAATTCACATTGAAGCATACAGCATTATCAAGGAGGTATGTTGACTGTTAATTGTCTTCTATGAAATGGAGTCAAATGAGGTAAAGTACTGGAGAAGTTTGTTTGTGAACATTTTTCACTTTGAGTCACTAGGTGAGTTTATTTCTTAGACTTAGTTGTTTGTCCAGATTTTCGCTGCCATTATAACCGTCCAGAAGTCTTAGATCATTTATTGTAGTTGAGTTTTCGTACATGGTTGCATCTAGGATGTTGATAATTGGGCGAGTTTGCTTTAGAACGTTTCAGGGAAGACTAGTTGAAGGATTCTTTCAATAATTCCTGGTATCAAGTATGTTCAGTAGGTTGACTATTTCGATCAAAATTATGCTCAAGGTCTTCTCTTCAAATTTATACTGAAAAGAGAAGAAGAAAAGGGAAGCACGAGCAGAAACTGCAGGGTGATATACCACACAAGACGAAATTAGGAAGAGAGAATTTCCTATCTTCATAGAGACGCTTGAGCTATATGTATACTTTAATTTATGCATATAAAAATGACTGTAATGATTTTCCTGCGTAAAATTCGTACAAGTTTTTGGATATACCGTGTTTACTTGTAGACGTACGGGGAAAACTGACTCTTCATCAAGGTGATACATACTTTACTGACTACACAACGTAAGCTAGTGGAATGGTAGTCAAACTCCTCGTGCAATAATGTTACGGCCGACTAAGTAAAAAGTACTTGGGATTAATGATAGCCTTAATTTACATGTTTAGGGGTCGTAGTATGTTTTCATTAGCCCAGAACATATGTTAAGTGACCAAATGTTCGAAATGTTTTTCGTAACGCTCCAAGTCTCTCAACCATTATATAGAAGCACTGACTTACTAGATTCCATGAGTGTTGAAAATCCAGATCTTCTCCTTCATGCTGAGTGCAGTAGATGTTCACATTGATTTCAGTTAATGAAGGCCTGTCTTGCTGTCTTTCCCATTCTGGCTTTCACATCCTGATCTGTGCTGCCGCCGTCGACTGCAGTTGAAACTTCGCTGCCTAGATAGATAGGTAGGTAAGTGAAAGAGACAACTTTGTTTAAGGATTCTCCCGTTCATGGTGATTGGTGCTTGTTGTTGTTGGTTGGGTATCTTCATCACATTCGTCTTCTCTACGTTCACCTGAAGGAAATCCCGTCTTCGCTGTTCTGCCTCTTCTGTCATCTTGTAAGTTTTTTGCCTGTAGATCTTCGAGTTTGTGTGACATAAGACATTAGACATAAATCATCATCGACGAAATGCAAATCTTCTAGGGTCTTTTCATCGACCAAACAGAGTATGGCCATTTTCTTGCTCCTCACAGTTTCTTGCGTCATCCAGTCCAGTCCAGTCTAGTCGAGTTGACCACAATGAGGAAGATGATCCGTGATAGTAGGCGGTAACCTTATCTTTCCTGTCAACCTGTCTTCACTTCAAAGACATCACTGAGCTTTCTGTTGTGAATCACTTCGCATGTAGTATCATCATCATCATCATCATGTAGCATAAAGCTGCTGTTGAATGAGGTTGATGAAGGTTTGTGGCACTCCGTAGTGTTGAAGCAGTAGCCAAATTACTTCTCATTCGATGCCTCGGCCAAAGGCCTTTTCACAGTCGATGAAGTTGAGGTAGAGAGTTGACTGGCATTTTAAATACTGCGCATCATTATGCGCAGCATAGCGTTACAATTTGATCCGCACATGATTTATTTTTCGTGAAGCCAACCAGCCAGCCAGCCTGTTACTGTTGTAATTTTGAATCGACAGCATTTTCAAGTCTCTCCAGGATGATGCAGCTTAATATTTTGCTTGGGGTGGATAGGCGTAGAGCATGATTCCCCGCCAGTTCTTGCAAAGACATTGGTCTCCGTTGTTTAGGATTTTGACAAGGTAGCTCTTGAAAACAGTAATAGTAAATTTATTTTAAGGGGTATAGAGGAAAATATCAGTTAAAAAGTTAGTGAAAAAGTTTGGGGCCAGCCAGTCACTCTATAACACACACACACACACACACACACACACTTGTACAGGAAGTCAATCATGGTAATATCTCTGACTGCGGAACAGGATGATGCTGGTTTAGACCGTTGACACAACATTAGTTCTCTTGAAATTGTTGATGTGTACTCTGATGATGAGCCTCAACAAAAATAAGACTTAAATCAAACAAGCTATCCTACTGATTAATGTCCAATCATTATCAAGAAGTTCTCTATTGTAGTTATCTTTTCGACTAATCTGGTAATACAATATTGGATCATATGACTTAACTCAAAAGTTTTGAAATGTATGTTGACTCATTTGGAAGGATTCAGTTTTATTTGTGGAATTTTCAGAAGTAAAGATTATGTATTTATGCATAGAAACCCACCATATTTATTTACATATGTGTGTGTGTATATCTGAAGTTTGTTTTTCATTTGTAGTGCCACAAGCGCCTCCAGCTGATGTGACATGTGCATCACAACAGCATAGTATCACTGTATCATGGAATCCACCGAATCCAGATAGTATAAATGGTATATTGACAGAATATCATGTTAGTTACTTTGCAGCTAATGAATATGGTGGTAAGTCATAATTGCTTCATTGATTACTAGTTATACTCAAATTTCATTGGGTTAATTAAGTTAACTTCGCCTGTCTAACTTTTATTTAATCTTATATATGTAAATTTACTGAAGTTTTCTCTCATATAACGTTTTAAGTATAGATTTCTGATCATTTGTAGCGAAGGGTTGCGGGTTCGAACCCCGCTCCTGTAGGTTTGTATCAAAAGCCTTCATATAATAAGTGTGACTCATTACTCAGAACATAAATACATCATATTATGTATGCATTAGGGCATATATGAAGTATCGATGTCATGGTCAATTATATCTCCATCCCTCACAGATGCGCTGAAGTAACCTAGTTAATAATTAGAAATACGTGAATAATACTTACCCAATGAGGCACCAGAACTGGATTAATGAATAACGACTGTTCTGACTCATTACATTATGTTTCACTCAGTCACGAAAGTATATACAGACAAGAACTAGCCTGTGACTGTAAAGAACACACCTTATTCCACAACAATACATCTTCGGAAGAATGCTATTCGGGGTCAGAATGGACCGCATTGTCTTTTCCTTGCATCTGTCTGATCGACGCAGAGACGGGGATCAGTAGACTTCTCGATATTTCTTCGTGGACAGGCGCATGAGCATGAGAATCAGCTATCAAGCCAAGAGATTTACCTATTGATCGAGAACGGGATGTACGTCATTGTGTGTGTTGGCGGTAAAAAACCATCCATATGGTTCGCAGCATTACACTCCTGGCATCGATGTTGTTTATGTGGACAAGATTTGACAAAATGCCATGCCAGCAAGGTAACACGGTGTCTTGTCTTCTTCGAGAGTCAGTTGGTATCGCATGAGTTACTGGGCCGATAAACAGGCGATGGACGTGTAGAAACGTGTATTGTGGTCGAAAGGCCGAAGCCCAGAACATAGGAAACTACAGCTTATATATATATGAGAATTGATGGATCCCAGTAAGATAAGGAATCTAGAAAGAAGCTGGATCATAGGTCGAGCTCCTCGAAACCAGTGTATGGAGGTGGGGGGAGGGGGGGGGGTTGGAAGGAGAGACTGACAGCTGATTTTTTATCGAAAAAACAAGGAATTGTGATGAGCGACTACTTGTTCCGGATATATGAAACATCCTACTAACCATATCGTAAAGGAGGCCTGGAAGAATTTATTTTATTATTTGTCCCTTGGGTTCTTAATGGAACATAGGGCTTCAGTAACACGTCTCCATTCAACTCTCTTCTCTGAAATCTTTTGAACGTGTCTCCACGACAGCCCACAAGGTCTTATTTCCTCCTCACACGATCTACTCCATGTCACCCTCAACTGGACGCCCAACTCGTTGTTTCCCATCTGGGTTCCACTCGAGCAACTGGCCCTGGTGTGTGATGTCCCCAATCGGCCTTCTCAGTGTATATCCAGTCCAATCCATCTCCACTTCCTTCCAATGCATATTTGTTGGGTGATAGATTCTTGCTTCGTTGTTCGTTGCCAGCCAGTCAGAGTTCCTCCTTGCTTATTCTTTCTCGCCTTCTCATCTGATCTTCAGTAAGGAGCCAGTGTAGTCAGTTGTTGATGAATGTCTGTAGTTTGTTGGAAATGCTTTTCGTAACGCGCCAAGTCTCTCAACCATCATACAGAAGCACTGACTTCACTTTGGTGTTGAAAATCCGGATATTGTTTCATATGCTGAGTGCATAAGATCTCCACACTGGTTTCAAGCTAATGAACGCCTGTCTTGCTGTCTTTCCGATCCTGGCTGCCTTTGACATCCTCGTCTGTGCCGCCTGTAGTTGAAATGATGCTTCCTAGATAGGTGAAGGAGGCTACGACCGGGGAGAATGATCAATTATAACGGAACCTAACCCTATAATGGATATTTAATGTCTCTCCCATCTCAGATGACTCACTGGAAGGTTTACTAGAGTCAGATAATCAATGTTTATTTTTAACTAGACTGATTATTTGTTCACTGAGTTGACCTTGAACCCTTTTTGTTTGTGTCTGTGTTTGTCTAATCTATTCTTTTCTTTTGTCATTACCACCTACATGTAATCCTTTTACTTTTGCTCTGGTTTATAAATTGTTAGATGAAACAAGTTCAGTCAATCAAGCTGTAAAAGGCCAGACAACTGTCACATTAGCAGGTCTCTTAGCCTATACCAATTATACAATTCAAGTTGCTGTTAGCAATCGTAAAGGTCGAGGACCTGCATCACCAAGAATTATCTGTTTAACAAAAGAAGCTCCTCCAGGTGCTCCAGGTAATTATGATTGCATAAAGATGTTTAACCTTTGAGTTCTCTTGTTTATATCAGTTCATGGAATCTTCGACTTTTAGTCTAATCCATGTAATGAGGTGTAAACTGCCTGTCTGGTGTCATCAAAACCATAGGAATCACGAGTTGAGGATCGTTGGTGAAATGGCTTAAAATTGATCACAATAGCACAGATTAATACACTTCTTGGTGTCTTCTAACACTTGAAGGTTGTGATGCTGTTGTGTACGAAGTTCTACATTGATTTCTTCTGTCTATCCATCCATCTTCTTTTTGTTAAACAATAGTGTAGTGAGGTGTGTGTGAATGTAGATTTTTGTAATCTTGATCTTTCAAGGTAGATTATTGCTGCCAGAATTCCAGATGTGACATATTTCTTCAAATTGTCATCACTTCGAAAAGACTGTTTGGAAGACGAGAGATCTGGTGCTGCTGTTCTTATTCCTGCTCTAGTCATCTGTATCCAGATAGCATCGTATTTATCATCTGTTCTCACTGTGACATCAAGATATTCAGACACAAGATATTCAGCGAAGAGAAGGACTCTTTTCAACGAATTCATTCTCAAGGTGTACATTTGTATATCTTTATAGGATATGTAATGACAGTAATCCGTGAGAAAGATTTAACATATACAATGAGGGGGTTGAAATAATAATTATGTTGCTAGTTGATGATGTAAAGGCTGGATGATAACAAAAGGGGGGTTACGTAAGATTCTTAAATCGTTTTTTAAGGTGTATATAGATTAAAAACGGGGTGAAAGTGTGATAGAGTTAATAAACAGTCAAAGGCGATGAGGTAATATGAATGAATTTCCAGAGTTTCCAATGAGAAGTGGTGACTGTTAGGGGCAAAGCGTGATAGTCGTGAGGACAGTTACTCAACGATGACATTGGGTGGCAGTTGCGCTATATCGTGAGCTAACAGAAGTTAGAAATATGGACGATTGGATTGTGACCCAGTAACTAGCTGAATGGTAACTTGCTGGCGACGGAACCTGAATGTCGTGGGTTCGATCCGTGATGGTTCGGGGTTGTGGGTGCGTACTGCTGAGGAGTCCCATACTAGTTGGACGAAACAGCTGGCTGTCGAGTGCTAGTAGGTTTCTTTTGTTCCTCAAACTGATGTCAGTCAGCCTACAATGAATAACAACTTGTAATATGAATGAGACAACAAGTTAATAGGAATAAGCTGTAAATGTTTTGTTAAAAGTCGTGATTATTAGGAAGATCAAATGACCAAATAACACCGGAAACAATTAAATATAAAAACAAAATGATAATGACGATATAAGAGTACAAAGATTAATCTGACAAAAAGGGGGAGGGTGTGTATGGAAAAAGAAGAAGGAACGAAGCACACCAAGACTAAAATAAGTTAAGACCAAGGTAGAGGCGAAGACTGTACTTCAGTTCATGGTTAACCAAGATCGTTGGTGTTTTTAGAAGCTGAACACGGAGGAAACGTGAGGTGTTTGAGCGAATTCGTTGAAAAAACCTTAAAATCACTCGCTGTTCGAGTCGGTCAAATAGTTAGAATTGATTAAATGTTCAAGGCTAAAACTTCTGATGCATTTTCTTTCACCCTTATTAAACCAAGCCGGAATATGTTCTCGTATATATGTTGACAGCAATCTCTGATTACGGTCTATGTACCATGCCCCCACAGGAGCATATGAACTAATCGATACACACGGATATGGCCTTATGATGGATATTGTCTTTTATACAAACGGAGAACAGCTTACGGACTGGTAAAGATCAAATGAAGTTTGATTGAGAAAAAAGTCCTACTGATTGATCTAGAAAGACGATTTTTTTTAGGAGATCTAATGCTGCATCACGTTTAAATTCCAAATTCATGAACAAAGTTTGTTTAGAAACTGAGCTGGTGACTGATTTGGTGTGTCTTTTTTCATATTCTTATCGATAAATCGGCTAGGATATCCGTTTTACGCTATCGTCCGTCTTAGAAAGTCATGTTCAACTTGGACACAGTCCGTGCTACAAATATTGCATATCCGATGACAGAGTGAGTGAATATGGTTTCTCTTCTTCATAATCGGCACCCAGCTATAGAAATTAGTAAGGTGTCCATTTGATATGGGTTTCCTGTAGATGGATCTTTTCAGCGTTCCGCTGCTTCATCTGGTAATCAGCACGTCAAGGAAAGCAATAACTGATTCCAATTCCTTCTCATAATTCCTTTTTATAATTATAACCACCATTACTATTATTTCAACCCCCTCATTATATATATACGAATGTACAGCTTGAGAATAAATTCGTTGTAAAGAGTCCTCTTCACTGAATATCTTGTTTATGACGTCACAGTGGGAATTATGTTCTCATTTTATTTATTCATACATTCTCGTGACCGGAGTGTTTCACCGCATGTGCTGAAATCATAATTATTTCGTTTTATCTAGCTTGATGTTCGATTTGTAAGTTGGATGAAGGCAATTGACAGGAAGCCCCGGACCTAGATTTCATACTTGTTGGTACTCGTCAGCAAAAAGCGTATCTGCAACCCCGACGGAATCGACGTCCCACCCAAGATTCGAACTAGCGCATCACCCAGTGTTGTGGTCAGCAACGTTACCACTGAGTTATTATTTGTGCCATGACTGATCTCTAATCCAGTCCTACAGGAAGTCAGTTGTGGCCCAAATAACCAAATGGTAACGTCTCTGACCATAACACTGCAAGACGCGTTGGTTCGAATCCCTCGCGGGACATCACTTCCATTGGGGTAGCAGATACACTTTTTTCTGGCGAGTGCCAACAAGCACGAAACCTAGGTCCAGGGCTTCCTGTCGATTGTCTCCATCTAATCAACATCTATCAGAGTGTATCGCGATGCTGACCTACCTAGTCTGGTGGCCACATTGGAAAATTGATCGGTAGAATTCGGCCAACACATAAGACTAGACAACATGAAGTTGGTTACTGTCCCCTTCTCAATGATTAATCAGTGTTTTATTTCACTGCATTTGTTGATGATATTTAATTTCATGTATTAAATTAGGATTTCAATGAATCAATGAATTAATTACTAGTGGCGCAATGGTAGGGGGGGGGGGAGGCTGTTCTCGGGACATGTAGGTTCTGAGTTCGCTCCTTGGCGGAATTCGTCCTATACTAGGAAGAAATAACCATCTAGTGCCCCTAGATTTTCAATAATTTTTCAACTCATATCAGTCCATTATGAACAAAGTCAAAATCACCTCTCTATTCTTTTTTCCTATTTTTCTTATTCTAGAATTTGTCAAAGTGAAACCGATGAATTCATCATGTGTTGTTGTCTCATGGTCACATCCTCGTAAACCTCAGGGTCAAACAAAAAGTTATTGTTTAGAGGCTGTACCATTATTGGATACCTCACAAGATGGTCTTGTCAGTCTATTCCCTTATCCGATTCCTTATAATGATCGTACAAAAGGGCCGTGTGTACGACCAGATTTCACAAGTTCTTATAATTACTACTTTTATTGTGGTGAGTAGATTTTTATAGACTAAACTTTTTTTCTTTCACGATTTTTTGACTTTGCCTAGTGGATCTTGACACTGTGAGTAATTGGTCGAATGCTCGTTTCGTCCTTCTGCAAGACTCTTCAGGAGCATTTACCTCAGTCTTTTACACATGGTCTAGCTAAGTTTCTACAGGTTGTTAAGCTAATGCATAAACTTTTGCACTGCTAAGCTTCTGATGCCGTCCATCCATCCAAATCCACATAGGACCAGGCATTACTGCGTAACTGGTCTAGTTGCTGCCACACCTCATATCACCACATCAAGGAAAATGCGAGTGAAGTGGGAGATGAAGAAAATAAAATTCAGTAAAAAGAAATATAAAGTAGTAAGAGAGAGAAAGGAAGAATGAAGAAATGGTGAGACTCGGTAAAACGTTAGGGTGACGATAATGTGTGTGGGGATACATCTGTGGCACTGACATCGGTTGTGAGCCATGTGATCACCTAGAGTCTCCAACCACTAGTCACTCTTGTCCAACGGACCCCAACCACCTAGTCTGCATCACCTCACATATCTCAAACCAAAGTCAAAGACTTTACACATTGATGCTATGTTTTAGTCTGGCTACCTCGGGCCTTTTACTAGCATGGACCTATTTTGGCCAACATTGTGTGACGAGGCAATCGGCGACTAGGTATACATAATACTTGTCCCAACCATCTCACTCGATGAAGGTTCATAACCTCGTCAATTGATTTATCTCTTCTCCCTAAAACTCTATACCTGACTTCTACATTACTCACATGGTGACACCGCGGAATACGGCCTATATTACGAAGGTAACGATGGTCAAACACTTAAAGCTAGCCTTCTCATGTCTTCCACACTCAATGGCCATGTTTCACAGCCATACAGGAAAATAGACCGGGCTGCTGTACAGTACACGCGACCCTTAGTAGACAAATGGATATCACGGCGGAATCGTGACTCTTATCTTCCTATGTTTTTTGAGAAGACAGACTGATATGTTATAACTCATCAGAATATTTTGAGTTATGTGTTTACCTGAGTTTCTTTTTAAATATAAAGGACAATGAAGATTGAGTGAACACTAATATTCTAGTAGGGATTGCAACATTCCTTGCTTATATCAAAAATGGTCACGTCACACCTTCAGATCAAGTGTCATGTTTTGTTTTTCTGTGTATTTTCCTGTCGTTGATTGTACCGTATTGGTCTATCTCTGTTAGCATATCGGCTTCTGTTCGACTGCCTCGATATTGCCTGTGTATTAATTTTGTAGCAGTGAAATCCAGGATTCAAGTTTCGCACTTTTTCGAGCTCGTCAGTTTGATGCACTCGCCTTCCAGTGGACGTTATTGTCCCCACTGGAACTCGGGCCCGGGGCCAATCATTTCAAACGCCAGAGCGTTATCCAATAGACCATGGAGTCAAGATAGCCATTTGTGTGGTTGGTATAGTTTTTACGTTGTTACTTATGTTATCTCGTCGTATACAAGTCATGAAACCCCAGAGGATTTGGATTTCGCCGAAGAAATAAGTCCCACGTCACAAAAACTCGATCTACAAGCAAGAACCAACAAATTGAAAGAAGAGGCAGCGAAGATGGGACTTCAAGTGAACGTAGTGAACACGGAGGTGATGAAGATACTTAATCAACAACAACAAGAAGCTCCAATCACCATGAACGGGAGAAATCTAGAGGAACTTGTCTCCTTCACCTACCTATTTACTTCGACAGCATCCTCTCAACTACAGGCGACACAGGCACGGATCACGACGTCAAAGCCATTATCGTAAAGACAGCAAGACAAGACTTCATTAATCTGTGGACATCAGTGTGGAGATCTACCGCACTGCACTCAGCATAAGAAAGATCCCGGTTTTCAACACTGAGTCAGTCGAGTCAGTGCTTCTATATGCATTAGAGATTCGGAGCGTCACGAAAAGCATTTCGAACAAACTATAGACATACATGAACAGCTGCCTGCGCTCAATACTGAAGATCAGATCAGATGGCCGGAAAGAATAAGCAAGGAAGAACCCTGGTCTGGCAACGAACCAACCAAGAACCTATCGTCCAACAGACATGCACAGCAGGTAAAGTTATGCAAAATTATGGGTATATAGCATATGGGATAGTTCAGATAATCTGGATACTTCAGCCATCCAATGATGAGTACGTTCACGAATGAACTTAAGAGAATTCATTGTTGGTCATTGCAAACGATGCAACTATTCACTAGTAGAAATGTAATGATTCATCCGAATCTCAGATATCTATCTGAATAATGACACGAAGCGATTAATGGGTTTTGATCATAGGTATCTTTGCAACCTTGCTCATGTTTGGTGGAATTATTGTGTGAACAATGCTGAGATGAGGCGAAGGGTATTAAGTAAGAAAGGCAAGTCAATTGATGAGATTATGAACCTTCATTGGCTGAGGTGGCTTGCATATGTACTGTGCATACCAAGGCATTATATACTACCTCAACCTACGATACAAGATGATATTGGATTAGTTTGGAAGAGGATTCAGGGTGGCAAGACCAAGATGTAGCACTAGTTGATGAAGTCCCTAACTGTTGATCTGAGCCATGGAGGGAGGTGTAGACTACCTGACTAGTTTATCTGAGACGATAGGAATCAGTGATTAAGGACTGTTGATAACATAGCTAGAATATCGGTCACAATGGTGTGGATGTATTCACTCGTTGACATCTTCTGAAGCTTAAATATTTGCACTAACTCATTTTCAGATTATTTGTTCTCTTACACCTACTTTATCTTGTTGGATATCAGTCTTTTCCTATCCACCTATTCTTTGTGTACTACTGTAAAGTGTGGCGACTTGATATGAGACACTTGTGTACAAATTTCTGGGTTGATTTAGTCAGTCAGTCATTTCAGTGATGGAATAGTAACACTCTTATTAAGAAATTAAAATATCCTTAACTCGATCCTGTGTACGGTTATACCGACCTAGCAGCCGCAAACAAAAAAAAATAGCTTTTTACAGCCTCCTAGTTTTAAATCTTTCTCCAGTGAATATTTGTGCATGATACAGATGGTCTTTTCTATCACAGAGTGAATAGTCTACGCAAAGTATATTAAGTATGCAGAAGTGTAGTCATACTAAAATGAGCCACTTATTTATGAAGTCTTTATCTGTTGGTCTGAGCTGTTTTAAGGAGATGTTGGCCACCTCAGTGGATAGGTAAAAGCGTTTTCTGATTTCTTTACATATCGATCATAATGGCGAAGATTTATTCAACTTTTTGTCACCTTCAGAGTTAGGAAGATTTTCGGTTATCTCTACGTATTTATTCTCTTTTCATCCATTCTCTTTCATGTGTTGCGTACTTCTGAAATCATCAGATGTGTTGTCTTAGATGTGTGGTATATCTTGGTTGGATGGTTTTCAATGGGAATTTGTTGACTGACGCCACAGTTAGGCTGCGGAGTTGATAAACCACTCAACTATGTGAGAAATGTCAACGTGGACCACTCAATTTGTAAATCATTCGCAAATTGATAATCCTGTTTTAGGTATTCCGGTCGGTGAATACAAGTCAACTAGCCAGTCAGATTCAGGTGATGTGAAGTAATTCAGCTATGTGGGCTGATTCTGTTGGGGTAGACTGCACTCAACATAAAGTAAAAGATCCATATTTTCAACCCTAAGTCAGTCAAGTCACTGCTTCAGAAACTTGGCGCGTTACGGAAAGCATTTCAAACAAACTACAGACATACATGAACAGCTACCGCCTACGCTCAGTCGATACTGAAGATCAGATGGGAAAGCGAGAAAGAATAAGCAAGGAAGAACTCTGGTCTGGCAGCAAACCAACCAATAACCCATCGTCTAACAAATATGCAAGAGAGGGAAGTAGAGGTGGATTGTATTGGACATAGACTGAAGAGACCATTTAGGGATATCACGCACTAGGCCCTCGAGTGGGAAGCCAAATGGTAAACGACAAGTTGGGCGTCCAACGGTGACGTGGAGGGGATCGTGTGACTGACTAACTGACTAGCAAAATCTACAGCTCAATAGTAGTATACCTTTCGTGTAACTCGCATATACTAGTGGGATATCTTTCTGCATGCATGCATGTAAACAATACTCTTTCTCTCTATCTGTTTTCTGATTTACAAACCAACTTAAATGAACTGCACCAGTGTCATGTGTGTCACTATATCTTTTAACTTGTGTTGTGTCTCCATGACTCATGGATTTTGCGTATTACCTAGTTGAAAGTTGTTACACAATGTCTGCATTTGGTGGGATAATTCTTGTTTAACAAATTTGTCTACTTTTTACTGTGTTTCATTTCCTTAGGTCTTGTTGAAGAACGACCATATAATATCTCTGTTCGTGGTACTAATCAATTCGATGGGCATAAAGCTTGGGCTGGACCTGTTCGTCCAACTAGCAATCGTAAGCGAATAAACTTTTCATGTCTACTGATAAATATATGAGTAGTACTCGAAGTAGTGTGAAGATATTTTTCCAAAATATAACACATCCATCCTTTCAGTGTCCTGTCTACACAGCAGTTGCTACGAAATCAATTAGAAGTAAATTGAAGTTTTAGATGTATGACATCCTGGTGAGCTAGAACACCTCAGCAATATTCTAATCGGCGATGATCTCTGTGTACCGACCGATATCTGGTTTCCTTCCATGTTTGGGAACCCTAATATGATTGAGTGATGAATTAGTAAGAGTTTTTAGATAGTGGAAAGTTTTCTCTACTTTCTGAGTTAACTCGTTTCAATTATCTTAACTTTCCATTCTACGATTAAACGGCTAGTTTTATTCATAATGAAGGTAATGGAGGCTAGTTGAAAGAGGTCCTATCCTTTCAACGATTATTCTGGATGGATGACGTTGTACAGTATGATTTTTTATTAATTGTTCCTAATTAGATTTGATTCACCTCTACCTCAACTTCATCGACTTTCAAAAGGCTTTTGACAGCGTCGACTGAGAAGTAATTTGGCAGTTGCTTCAACACTACGGAATACCACAAACCTTCATCAGCCTCATTCAACCGCAGCTATATGAAGACGCCATATCCCAAGTAATTCACAATGGGAAGCTCAGCTCAGTGATGCTTTTGAAGTGAAGATAGGAGTGAGACAAGACTGTCATCTTCTATCACCCATGATATTCCAGATTGTGGTGGACTGGATCATTCAACAAACAGTGAAGAGCGAGAGGAGGGGAATACGCTGGCTGGACCGGGTAAAAGAACCTAGAACATTTGGATTTCGCCGATGACTTGTGTCTAATATCTTATCTCACAAACCTGAAGGTGTACAGGTAAAAACTAACAAGTTGACAGGAGAGGTAGGGCAGCGAAGGAAGACGGGACTTCGAGTGAATGAGGAGAAGACACAGGTGGTGATGATACCCAACCAACAACATCACCACCACAACCACCACCACCACCAACAACAACAACAACCTTCAATCACCATCAACAGGAGGAACTTAAAGGAAGTAGCCTCTTTCACATACACCTATCTAGGCAATGCAGCATCGTTTCAACTACAGGCATCGACACAGGCACAGACGTCGATGTCAAAACCAGACAGGATCGGAAAAGCAAGATGCTTTCACTAATCTGAAATCGGTGTGGAAATCTACTGCACTCAGCACAATGCGTGAACAACATCCGGATTTTCAACACTAATTCAGTCAAGTCAGTGTTGCTATATGGTTGAGAAACTTGACGCATCACGAAAAGCATTTCCAACAAACTACAGATATTCATCAACAACTGCCACCTACTCTGGATCTTTACTGAAGTTCAGATGAGATGGTCAGAAAGAATGAACAAGAAGGAACTCTGGTAACGAACCATCGAAGCAAGAACCCATCACCCAACAAATATGCATTGGAAGGAAATGGAGATGGATTGGATTGGGTATACACTGAGGAGGTCGACTGGGGAAATCACGCGCTATGCCCTTGAGTGGAATCCAAATGGGAAACGACGAGTTGGGCATCTCAGCTGAGGATGACATGGAGGAGATCATGTGAGGAAGAAATGAAAGCAGCTTGTGAGCAGTCGTGGAGCGAGGTTTGAAAGATTGCAGGGAAGAGAGTGGAATGGAGACGTGCTACTGAAGCCGTATGTTCCACTAGGAACCCAAGGGATAAATAATAATATAATATGTGATAAAATTTAAGTTACCTAAAGAATATTAATGACGAGAACATTTTATGTTGTTAACTAAATTATTGAAATGAGAGTATTAACTGTTGGAAAGTTGATATGTTAGTACTGCTCTTACACCTTTATTTCCTCACGTAATCTGTCTGTTAGGTGTAAGCGAGGCGCAGTCGATTTCTTGTACTTGGCTGTACGAGTGTACAGTCTTAGGTAGTTTCTTCTTGTCCTCCCTGATAAGGGATACAAGGAGAGAGAAGCGTGAAGGGAGTGGATGTTCAGTGTCAATTAAAATTACGATGGCTAGTTGCTTACTAGAATTTAAATATCTATCAACTACCACAGTGTTAATCAATTGGACTAGAGGCACACTACACAATGTAGCATAGTCCTTTTTTAGTGGTAGACCAGGAAAGATCAATGGGTAACAATAGAGTAGAATAGTTAACATGCAAGAAAACCTCATTTTTTAAAATGTATAATACATTGAACGAAACATGTTCTTGGAAGTCAATAAGGATCAGAAGTAAAAGTCAATCTAAGATAGATAACACGCAATTTACTTTTTGCAGAAATACCACCAATACTGCGACGGGAGCCATGGAACGTCAGTAGTTTATACGAGTCTTGTTTACGCTTGAGGCTAAAACTAACAGTCTGATATTTGGAATAGTTTAACTTGAAACCATTTGAGAGGGACCATTAGTTGATAAGAGACAAGAATTCACTTAATTAGGAGTAGTCTAAGTGAGAGAGTTGACTGGAATAGACACTTTCAGGACAACAACGTATTTAGTAAAATTAGTTTCCTGGTTATATTATGTTCTCTGGGCTGAGTTGTTTTATTCATGGAGTTTTCATCGTCTAGAGAGACGATGAAGAAAATTACCTGATGTCTATCCTAAAGAAGAACTACTACCCACCAAACTTGATCACAAAATGCCTATCCCCTGCTTCACCAACTACAAAGTCATCAACGGCAATCAACAAACGTATCATCCCAACCGTACACGAAGAATATATCAGAAATCCCGACAAGATTACTGAGACCACTTGGAACTGATGTGTGCCACCACCTCATGAACCAACAAATTCCTTCCAAACACTAATATCCACACCAAAGGATGCAACAACCAAAGAAGATAAACCTAACATCACTTACAAAATCAACTGCAATATCTATGGTCAGCACCACATTCATTCGACAATGTGATCACCCTCGTCGTCTACATGAACACCAATTGGCTATTAAACTTCATAGACCCAATCTGTCAACCAATAGGTATAATGATAAACCAAAGAAAGTTGAGAGGTGAAGGAGAGGAACAGCCAACAGGAAAATCTATGTAGTCCGTCAATGACATAACAATCAAAGGAAACAACCAATCACAAATCAGTTCGTCAGGGTAAGCTACTAAATCACTCACGGAGAGATATTGTGACAACTCCCTTCATACTGAAGTTAGTGGTGACGATGATGTCGCTATCTAGAAAGACGATGAAAGCTCCATGATTAAACAACGCAGCTGAGGGAACACATTACAATCAAGGCCATCGACCTGGGTTACAAATTATTCTCCACCGTAGTTGATGTGGGATTTGATTCTCTGAACACTGGATAGAGAAGATCTACATCACTCCAATCGTGACCACCACAACGATAACGTATCACCTATCTATCAGTCAGGGATATAACGACTAAGATGAAGATAGCGTGCATATATATCTTTGCATCATTGATATAAATTTCAAGCGATATCGCTTAGAGTTTCTATCCTTTGAATCCAGTTGTAACGCGAATCTCGACTGAGAAGTTGACATTTCGCTACACAAATCAGACCAACACTCAGAGACTTCAATCTGAAGCTTCTTTCTTTTCCAAAGTATTTAGTATAAAGTGAATCAAATTTTGTCCATTTGTGAAGTAATATAACTCATGTATTGTTTCTTAATCATTTTAGCACCGATTGGAATTATCTCTATTGGCGGTAAGATAAATGCTCAAAATAAAATGCGTGTTTGGATGGATTGTCTAGTGATTGGCGGTTATCAACCACATTGGATTTATCCACAAGATGACCTTGAGTAAGTTCAATAATTCCTGTATCTAATCCTTTTTATCACATGATTACTTTGCTGAAGATTCTTGAACAATCTATCCCAATTATTATTATGATTTTCCATTGGGTTCCTAGTGGAACATACGGCTTCAGCAGCAGCAGACTTCTGTTGCACTCTGTTCTCCACAGTCTTTTCAACCTCGCTCCATGACTGCTCACAAGCTGCTTTCATTTCTTCCTCACATGATCTCCTCAATGTCACCTTCACCTCGGACGCCCAACTCATCGTTTCCCATTTGGATTCCACTCAAGGGCCTAGCGCGTGATTTCCCCAGTCGACCTCCTCAGTGTATACCCAATCCAATCCATCTCCATTTCCTTCCAATGCATATTTGTTGGGTGATGGGTTCTTGCTTCGATGGTTCGTTACCAGAGTTCCTTCTTGTTCATTCTTTCTGACCATCTCATCTGAACTTCAGTAAAGATCCAGAGTAGGTGGCAGTTGTTGATGACTATCTGTAGTTTGTTGGAAATGCTTTTCGTGATGCGTCAAGTTTCTCAACCATATAGCAACACTGACTTGACTGAATTAGTGTTGAAAATCCGGATGTTTTTCATGCATTGTGCTGAGTGCAGTAGATTTCCACACCGATTTCAGACTAGTGAAAGCATCTTGCTTTTCCGATCCTGTCTGGTTTTGACATCGACGTCTGTGCCTGTGCCGATGCCTGTAGTTGAAACGATGCTGCATTGTCTAGATAGGTGTATGTGAAAGAGGCTACTTCCTTTAAGTTCCTCCCGTTGATGGTGATTGAAGGTTGTTGTTGTTGTTGGTGGTGGTGGTGGTGGTGGTGATGTTGTTGGTTGGGTATCATCATCACCTGTATCTTCTCTACATGCACTCGAAGTCCCGTCTTCCTTCGCTACCCTGCTTTTTCTGTCAACCTCGCCTGCTTAAGTAGTTCACTAGTTACTAGTTGGTTTTAAGCCCGGGTAAAGAGGGAAGGTTTGGCATAGGGGTAGCAGCCATATCACGTAAAACCAATCCAATCGCTAAAGAAACTTCAAAGCACAAAGAAAATATCAAACATAATAACAAACTTATTCCTCGCTCTAATCGAAGTGACGAAATGACGCAGTTGGTGAAAGCCTTCGGCAAGCCAGTCAGCCGATGTGTCTTCTCTCGATGAATGCAAAAGTAATTACGGGGAAATGGAATTTCTGCACCATGTATGAACGAAGCTACCAATGCTGCCCAGATTGCAGAAGAGATCTATCCCAATAGACCTTCATTATTGACATTTATACGTTAGTTTCAAAGTGGGAAAGAATACTGAACATTTTTATTTTCTACTTTTGGTGATATGACTGTTGTAGGTGTGATTTGTATACCTTGAGGTGACTAATAATGATATCTAAGGTAGTAGAACTATGGCTTAGTGATTTAAGAGGATTAACTATCAACCAATGGGTCACGGGTTCGAACTCTGTTCCACTTGCGTAGGTTTGGACAGCCAAGTAGTGTGTGGCTCTTTGTTTATTGAATAGATGTACGCAAGGTGACTGAGTGCTTTTTGTTCATTTTTTTAAGTCTCAGGTAACTGAACGTTAGATGGGGCAGAGCTGTGGCTACTCTCTGTCATGACTTGAAGTTGACTCATTATTATAGAACGGTGCCGTTCTGCGTTTCATTAATTTCGACTGTAGATGTGGATGATGACTGTCTATTCGGCAGTCCCTATTATAAAAGTTTTCATCCCACTTCCATACCACCATTCTTGACCTTATACAGGTTACTATTTGCAGTTTGAAGAATTTAGATCCTCATAGGAAGTCAAGGTAGAGTTATTTTCTACTGTGAATGAGATTGTTGCAGTTGGTCACCTGAATTTTAAGTATAACACTTTTTTCGCTCAAATAAGACTGATCAATATATATGTGTAGGGTTTTGATCACCCCACCTTTTTCAACTGTATCTCACAGGGGGTCTCATATGCTTACTGATGAGAACTAACCAAGGATGAAATAGCTGAGGAACTGACTGGCTGACAAAATCAACGTAGAACCTCACACATAGGTGCCTCACCTCAAGTTGCCACACTACAGTAGTACAAAAAAATGGGTGGATAGAAAGAGACTCATATCAAAGTAGATAAAGTTGCTGGACAGAATACACAGTTTGGAGATGAAGGTTAGTGAAAATATTCAACGATATGACCGACTTTCAACTACATCACCAAGAATCCTTAATCAGTTGGTTCCTGTCGTCTTGTGGACCCCAACAAGCCACGTAGTCTAAATCTCTCAATATGACTCAGGCCAACAGCCAAAGGCTTCATTGATTAGTGATACATCTTGGTCAGACCATCCTGAACCCTCTTGCAACCCTATCCAACTTCCCATAGCATGACACGTAGAGGTAGATGGTGTCTTGACAAGCGCAGTACATATGCAAGCCACCTTGGACGATGAAGATTCATAACCTTATTAGTTGACTTGCCTGGCTTGTCTGGTACCCTTCAGCTGACCTAAAAATTCCACACTCAGTAATTCCTCCATACACTAACAATGCTACGAAGACATCTGTGATCAAAAGCTTGTAATCTCTTCTTGTCTTCTACTGTTAACAGCTATGTCCCACACCGTCTAACAGGACATAACGAACTCCATCGTAGCGCAGTATGCTCATCTTTTGAGTGGTAATTGTATATCTTACCATTTGGGGCCACAGACGATGCAAGCTGGTAAATGTCAAACGAGCCTTCTGCATCCGAACTGAGATTTCATCAGGAACCAGTCTGTTCGGGCTGGTGAAATAGCTATCCATTTCTGTCAGTTTTTCAATATATTCGCCATCTGATGTCTCTCTATGCTGGATAAAATACTTTGAACTCAATTAACTTATGTGATTCACTGATCCAATTCAAAAGTACATCGAAACATTCAGTGAGCGAACATTGAATTATGTGAATAGTTTCCAACTACTCAGATCCAGTTAGTAGTATGCAACGTAAACATTGAAAATTTTGATTGAGTCTTTGCATTGAAATTGTTAGTCGATAAAATGAACACCTATTTTAAAATAATCTGCGAAGAAATAAGGATTTGTTAGTTTGATGGAGGTAGTAGGCAGGAAATGGTGAACTTAAGTTTCGTTCGTTTTCATACTCATCAGTAAGGTGTATCCGTAACCTGGAGGGAGCTGATGTAGAGTCGAACTCACCTTACCCAATGTTGCATTCAGAGATGTTACCGCTGAGATATTCGAGGCGCAATTTATCTCCTATGATCAGTCTTTTTGGTGAGAGTTATTCGAAAAATTCAACTCGCTTCTGTATGTTTCATGTTATAATTGATGAATCATCATTATCAACAATATCAACATAGGACCAGGCATTACTGCGTAAAGGTCTGAGTTCCCATAACACCTCATATCAGTACATCAAGTAGAAAGGTAGTGAGGTGAAGGATGAAGATAAGAGGATGCAGTGAAAAGAAATATAAAGTACTCAAAGAGGGAGAGAAAGGAAGAATGACAAAATGGTGAGATTCGGTATAGCATCATTAAGATGAGGATAATGTGTGTGGGGATACATCTGCGCCACTGACATCGGTTCTCAGCCATGTGGTCGCCTAGAATCAGTCTCCAACCACTGGTTCCTCTTGTCCTGCGGACCCCAACCGGCAAGTCTGCATCGCCCTACATTTCTCAAACCAACATTTAGAGACTTCATACATTGATGCCATGTTTTAGTCTGGCCACCTAGGGCCTTTTTCCAGCCTGGACCTACTTCGACCAACATTGTGTGATGAGGCAGATGGCGACTAGGCATACATAACACGTTTCCCAACCATCCATCTCAGTCGCAGAAGGTTCACAACCTCGTCAACTGATCTGCCTCTACTCCATAAAACTCTATACCTCACTTCTGCGTTACTACATGGTGACACGACGGAATACGGTTTATACTACGAAGGTAACGATGGTCAAATACTTGAAGCCAGCCTTCTTGTGCCTTCCACCTTCACTGACCATGTTTCACAGCCATAGAGTAGAAGAGAGTGGACTGCTGTGCGGTATACGCAACTCTTAATGGACGAACGGATATCACGGCGGTGCCGTAGGTGGTGTAAATTGATGACTAGTCTCATGAGCGAATCATATCTGGATACTCATTAAGAAAGATGCTTCCAACCTTGAAGAGATTCATACTGCCTATTGAGCTTGTCTGCTACTCTCACTGTTATATCCGAACTGAATAGTATCACCCTTATACTTGAGTGTACACAATTGCTAGTTAGTTATCTGCCGTGTATAATACCATGAAATGATTGTTTGATAATGACAGATGAATACAATCAGCTATCCTAATTTGTTCATCAAGGCTATGTGTCTATTTTATGATATTTGACTAGGTAGGTAAAAGGTCAGTACCGAATTGAAACGGTATGAATTGAATTTTCAGTTGTTTTCCTTTCCAATTTTCTTATTTACTTTTCAGGTGGAAAGTGAGTGACACATATAACTGAGATTTACATGTAAAGGATGGAGGTCGATATAACAAAGCACTGATTCTACATAGTTGGTAGATAATTAGCAAAACTTTGTGTCTATTGGGGTGTCATTAGGCGGATGTATTTACACTCTTGACTATTCGAGTTATGAAGTTACAAACCTTGTTACTAAACTATTCATCTCATGACTGACCCTATGTAGAACTAAAATATGCACATGAATTAATCACCAAAGGGTAATTGATGGGGCTATCAAATCATAAGTACACCAGAGTGATAGTAGTTTATCGATTCCCTACTGAGTGTTCAGATGCATAAGAGCCTGTATCACTTAACTTCCTAACATCGAACACTGCAGGGCGATCACATCTTAGACTTTATCGTTTGACTTTGATAAGTAAACAGTACTGAGCACTTGAGCTTTATGTCTTCATCAGTCACCATCCGGTGACCAGTTTTTATACATTCCATTATCTAATCACTTGTCGTTAAAATGGTCAAATTGAAGATTTCATCGATAAAGCTCGATCAATATTGAGGATGATAGAGTATATTACTGACCGATTACTGTGAAAGCGATAATCTGAAATGATTATTTATGGAGGTTTATCAATTGACTTTAAGTTGGAATTGGTCATGGAGTGATATCAGTTGAAGAAACTTTGGAAACCTGTAAGCACTGGACAGCCACTGTTTCGTCCTAGTATGGGACTTCTCAGCAGTACGCACCCGTGACCCCACCCAGTCCGCCGGGGCTCGGACCCAAGACTCCTAGGTTCCGTGGCCAGACCTTTACCATTTATCCAGTTCTGTTCCAATCGATGTCAGTCTATGATGAATTCCAAACTAAAAATCAATTAATAAACCTCCACAAATCTCCACATTGAATTAATCTAGCGCTCATTGGTGATTAACTTCCAGAGGTGATTCCCGAAGTTCCAATGAGTAGTTATGACGTGATTAGTGGAGTGAAGCAAGTGGAAGATAAGGACAGTTACTAAACGATGACATTGGATGTCAGTCGCACTATGTCGTGAACTGACAAAGGTAGGAAATATGGACGATTGGATTCTGACCTAGTGAGTTAATGGTAAAGTGCTGGCCATTGAACCTGAAGGTAGGGGGTTTGACCCCTGACGGGGTGGGGTCATGGGTATGCACTGCTGAAGAGTTCTATGCTAGGATGAAGTAAAACAGGAATCATTCATGTTCTATTGAAATCGATTATTGATTGGTCAACTTTTCTACAAAACACAACAGCTTAGATTTACTTCCAGTTTTACAGTTTTGGTTATCTTATGAAATTGGTCCTCTATGCTTTGATAAAGTTTAACTCTTTTTTCTGTTTGTTGTAAATTAAGTCTTAACTTAGTGTGTACGGTATAGTATCTTATCTCTCTTTCATATTCAGTGATCTTCGTATTCTGGATAATGGTACATTGTTTGTAGAAAGTGCTCATGTTGCTCATAGTGGACATTATAAATGTTCAGCTGTCTCTGATAGTATAGCTTATGATCTAGTTGTTCAAGGTAAGTCTTGTCTAGTTTACCAGGTGTCTGCATTTGTTTTATACAGTTTTTAGATGAGAATAAATTTGGAATGATGATAAAAAGCCTCGTTGGCTTCAGACTTCGATTTGATCGATCTCATGATATTTTTTTCGGCATGATCATGAATTGTAATGATGGGTAGTGGCTAGCAGTGGAATCCAGGATGCGCATTTCATCCTATTTGCGAACTTGTCAGCTGGATATACTTGCCTCCTAGTGAATGATGTTGTTCCCATGCGTCGCGCAAGAAGTGGTTATCGTAGCTCGGTGGTGTAGTGGATAACGCTCTTGCGTTTGAAACGATCCCTCCTGAGTCCGAATCCCGGTGGGAACAACATTACTCATTGAGAGGCAGGTACATCCAGTTGGTGAGTCCCAAGTAGGATGAAATGCGCATCCTGGATTCCACAGGCAATATCGAGGCATCCCCACAAGAGTCCATATACCAACAGAGACTGGTCAATTTGGTGCAATCAACGACGGTGCAATACAAACAACCAATAACACTAACGAGCATGAATTATATAAAAAAGGAAGATGTGTCAGTATGGGCTACTGTCAGCTTTTCTCTAATCTAATTCTGCTTTGGCTAACATAGGATGCTGGAGTAAATGGTAACTCGGGATGCATAACTCCACTTCCTAGTTATCTCAGTCAACGAAGGTACACAACGCCATTGACTGAATTACATATTTTAGACGACAAAAGAATAAAATTCTTTCTTTTTTCACGATATCATTTTCTAAATCTGTGTACATCATTATACCAGCTAGTGACAAAAATCATGAAATCAAAACTGTAAACGAGAGATGAGAAAGACAAGCAGTTTGTTAAGATAAAAATTATTGGTGGATGTAAAATATTGAAAGGAAACACGAAGACAAAGTTAAAGGAAGGAAGTGGTACAGTGGTTGTTAAATATGGTACACCTTGGACTAAGGCAGTCGTTTGCAAAATATGCTTCATTTCCTCTTCTGTTTCTATCTTGATTTGGTCTTTATACGCCCGCATTATCTCTTGCGTTTCTCTAGGCAGAATCCGTACCCATTGCTAGTAATCGCCTATGATTTCTGCTGACCTCTCAACATATACTACTTACATCCATTCTTATCAGTAACACCCACTACAATATGAAGATGAGTGTCTAGTTGAACTGATGAATTGCTAATGTTTCTGATGTGGTGCATAACTGTCGAAAGTGTACTCCTTTTCAACTATCCCCTCTGACTCTTTGTAAATAACACCGAACGAGAACTTTGGCGGAGTACTGTTTGTTTAGAGTTGGCCAAGAATTGAACTGCTAATTGATTTACATTCTCCTCTAGACAACCATGCAACATAGTGCTCAGAGATGCATTTGGAAGGTGTGCGCTTTGTACGGCGTATATAACTAACTCCACACAGTTTCTGTAATAGTCTATGCTTAATCTCCAGATTGTTCACATAGTAATTTAACCTGACCATTTCCATTAAAGTAGGCGTGACCGAACATCTCTAATGGTCATGTTTTACAGTTATAAAATAGAACAGAGCAAACTGCAGTGCAGTACACTAGATCCTTATTAGACAGTTGGATATCACAAAGACGCTATAAATGGTGTATACTGGTAAACCTGTTAGTATTCATCCGACGTTCCAAGTAAGTGTAGTGCTCAATGCAATCAGCCATTTGATTTCTTTCTGTCTAATGAAGTATTGATACAGACTAGTAATGAAGCGGGTATCCATACTTTGGTAAGATGAGGAACACATCCAAAACATTTAGAAATTGTCAATTAGTGTTCAGTAGGCTGTATACTATCAGTCGACTAAGAAGTCTCCTTGAATAAGGTTGTTCCGTGTAGATTCAGAGGAGGAGAGCGATACCTCCATACTGAAGTTAGTGTTGATGATGTCGTGTAGAAAGACAACCAAAGCTTCACGATTAAACAACCCAGCTTCTCAGAGAACACAATAGAACCAAGACCATCCATCTGAGCTACAAATATTCTCTACTATTTCATAGATTGAATATCCCTGACGGATATCACTTGTGATAGATATTCCACTCTAAGCTAACCGTAAGTTCTAAGACGACTTATAGTACTCAAGTATGAAACCTTTAATAGAATAGTGATTCCATTGATAACTTATCGATCAACAGAATGAAATGCCGCCTTCATGTCAAGCTCTTAAATAACGCTGTGAGCAAATATATTCCCCTCTTATGGCTGTTACTTCCAAGTAGATGTACTGTGATTCTCTCTCTCTCTCTCTCCGTATATATATAGCCTAAGGAATCGTTGAAGTCTCATTGATATGCTATTTGAATGTAAGATTATTGATAACCAACGTCACAGGGGTCATTATTCAATCACTTCCTTCATCCTTTGAGCATTTCATATTCAAACACTACTCTTCTATTCAAATTCAAGCTTTCTGTGGTGTTAAACGTTTACCTGCCATCTGCAACTAATCTATTAATGAAAACTTTAATGAGATTGATTAACTGATCAACAATAAAACTATCCGATAACTTTATTGCACCAGAAATGTGACCACATTAACTCAATAGCTTATTGGATAACTCTGTAGTGTTTGAAACGTTGATTTCTGAGTTCAAATCGTAGTGCATTATTATTATATATTATTTGTCCCTTGAGTTCCTAGTGGAATATAGGGCTTCAGTAGCACGTCTCCAGTGCATTCTGTTCTCTGAAATATTTCGAACCTGGCTGCACCACTGCAACAAGCTCTCATTTATTCCTCACACGATCTACTCCATGTCACCCTCACCTAGGACGACCAACTAGTCATTTCCCACTTTCTCCCTTTGCATATTTGTTGGATGATAGATTCTTGGTTGGTTCATTCCCATAAATTGGGCGAAATATGCCTATTGGATTCCACTGTTGGCCGCTACTCTATCCTTTATATCAAAAAGCCTGTTATAATAGAACGTGTCTGTACAGTTTTCTTTTTTGTAGCATAGAACGGTTTTGGTAATTTTTGCATATTTCGTATACATTTTTGGTTTGATTGGCATAAAAAGTTGAATTTAAACTATTAGGTTGCAGGTTCGAGTCCGCTCCGTACATATTGATATTTAACCAATCAGGTGCTACCAATAACCTTAACAGAAATAGGCATATACATCTAACAGACTATAATGTACAAAGTTGTAATTTATATCTCGTTGTTATGTATGCGTTATCTTCGTTAATGTCTTGTCTAATATTGATTTTTCTCCCTTCTTTTCAGAAATCCTTGAAGGTAAGTCAATGGTTAAATCTATTTCAGTGGAGATAACACATGATATGATACGAAATAAGATTTTCTAAATATAACTTGAATAGCTAACAACATTAGTCCTTGAACCATCTATATCGTGAACAAATATGTTCACATATGACATTCTATTACCGCTCATATGGTCATTGTTCCTGTATGATGTTGAGCATTTCACTGGTAATTATTTTCATTGAGACACATGAAGAAAATCGACGGGGGTTGTTTTGGTCGCTGCATAAGTACAAAGAATCTCTGGTGTGGTTAGCTTGTCCGTATTATTATTATTATTTTTTTTATTATTATTATTATTAGGACACAAACGTGATACAGCAGGTGCACCATAGAATGCGCCACACAAGATAATATAACAACATTACGAAGACATAAAACGAAGGGAAGTGGATAAAAATAAAACTCCATAAGAATAGAATGATTAGAAGGGCTGTCCAGTGAGGTACATTCGAAAGGAAATATTCATTACTTTTCAACAACAGAATGTAAAGGGAAGCTACAGCATGACCACCACTGGTCTCGATTCTGAGCCACTTTTGATAACATCTCAAGCCACTGAATTATGTGATCTCTCGGAATTCGCCGAGAGAGTTGTGGTGAACCAACAAATGCTAACCGATACAAATATTCTTCATCCCACGGCGCCGCCACTGACCACCCTCCGCTTTTTCTATCTAGTCCCATGGCTAGCAAATAATGAACGGTGTGAAAGCCATTGGGACGACATATGTAACACATGTCCAAGCCACCGAAGGCAGTGTTTCCGGATCACTTCACTTACTGAATGACCATCTCCATCTCCCGAGCAATCCTAAGGGAGCAACGATGATCGAACACACATAGCCATCTCGTATCCTCAGGTTAGAAAGGTCAGGTTTCACATGTGTAGGACAGAACTGCTCGCACCGAAGTGTTGTGAACCCGACTTTTTACGATCAGACTAACGTCACAATGGCGCCAAAGGTGGCCCAAATCTATGTGTGCTACTCTGGCTTTCGATGTGAAGTTGGAAATTTCACCGCTCACAACTTCGCCAGCAGTCACAAAACCACCCAGATACACGAACTTTTCTACCGCTTCCAACGCCTCACCGCCAATGATGACCGCAGGCACAGACTCCTGCCAATCTTGCAAAAGTACTTTGAACTTCAATGGTGCAAAGGATATACCATACTTACAGACACTAATCGCCAACTGATCAAGTGCGGTTTGAATAGCCTATGTGTTATTGCACAGTAAGACAATATCGTCAGTGTATTCAAGGTCGGATAGCCTTTCTCCGGGTAGTAGATCTACAGTACCATCATGCACTTCCTTCAGAGGTGTCTCCAGAATGTTATCGATGACAGAGTTGACGAGGAATGGGGAAATCGGGTAACCTTGCCTAACCCTATTGCTGGTTTGGAAAAATGGAGACAGTTGGTTGTATGCCTTCATTCTACCTGAGGTGTTATTGTTTAGGTCTTTCAAGATGTAATTAAATTTCTCAGACACGCCCCTCTATAAAAGACACTTTCAGAATACAGCTTCGTTGGACGAATCGAAGGTGCCCCTAATGTCAGAAACACAGAGATTGTTGGCCAGCAATTCGTGTGGCGATGTCCAAGCATCTGACGAAGGTTAAACACATGATCAATGCATTCACGACCTGAACGAAACCTGGCCTGTTACTCACAAACCATTTCCTCACGTGTTTTGCAAATTCTGCTATGTATGATAGCAACCAATATTTTCGACTCTATTGATAACAAACTAACATCCCGATGATTATCACATACATTATGTGAACCTTTCTAAAGATGAACACAACAGTTGCTTCATTCTAGAGTGATAAAACACTCTCAGTCTGCCATACCTTCTCAAATAGTTTAGTCAGTTCCCTGGCTAGAGTCAGTCCTGTATTTTTAGGAGTCGAAGGTAAGTTGTCAGCGCTGGATACCTTGTAACATTTCAAAATTTGGAGTTCGTTATAAACCTTCGCTTCGTTAGGTGGGTCGATGTGAACTAACATTGAGCACGATCCACCGAAGGTGACAATGGTTGGACCATGGGCTGTTGAACTGCTTTCCGAAATCCTCCGCCGAGTGTTCCAACTTGTCCATGGTCTTAATTATATTTCAATTCGTCCTGGGGAAGGATTCGTTTGTTGTTCGTTCGAGCAGCAGTAGCTGTAGTAGTAGTCTTGGCGAAGAAGCCTTTTCTGCATTTTAATGTCTACAAAATCGATGCTGATAATATGTTCAACAAGTTAATTCAGCTTATGAAATTTGATGATATGCCTTACACTGGTTAACTAATTATCAATTTTCAATGAGACTTCTATACTGTATGTAAACTAGCTTCAGTATAAAGTGTCTTTTAGAATAAATACAATTGGTCGGTGATGATTTATTTAACTGTTGAAACAAGAAGAAAATATTTCCTTAATATACGAGTAAAACTTGGGCACCGTGGTCGAATTTAATTCAATATTAGATTTGTTTATGTGATTTATAACACACAGTAAGTGAGTGATACAGTATCATCTGCTTGGTGATGATGTTTCGAGGATAAATTATAATTGATCATAATCATCATATCAATGCGTAATCATACCACTTTCGATATCTGATTTCTAAAGTCCTATCAGCTGATAGGATTTCAAGTAAACGAAATAGAAGACAGAGGTGATGATGATACCCAACCATCAACAACAAGCTCCAATCACGATGAACGGGAGAAACTTAAAGGAAGTAGCCTCTTTCACCTACACCTATCTAGACAATGCAGCATCGTTTCAACTACAGGTGGCACAGGCACAGATGAGGACGTCAAAGCCAGTCAGGATATTAAAAACAGCAAGATAGTCCTTCATTAACTTGAAACCAGTGTGGAGATCTGCTGCACTCCACTCAGCATAAAGTGTGAACAACATCCGGATTTTCAACACCAATTCAGTCATGTAAGTCAGTGATTCTATGTGATGGTTGACAGACTTGGCGCGTTACGAAAAGCATTTCCAACTAACTACAGACATTCATCAACAACTGACTACACTGGCTCCTTACTGAAGATCAGATGAGAAGGCGAGAAAGAATAAGCAAGAAGGAACTCTGGCTGGCTAGCGACGAACTAACGAATCAAGAACCTATTACCCAACAAATATGCAGTGGAAGAAAGTGGAGATGGATTGGGCATGCACTGAGAAGACCATTTGAGGACATCACGCACCAGGTCAGGCCGTCGAGTGGAACCCAGATGGGAAACAACGAGTTGGGCATCCCAGCTGAGGGTGACATTGAGGAGATGGTGTGAGGAAGAAATGAAAGCAGCTTGTAGGCTGTCGTGGGGCGAGGTTGAAAAGATTGTAGAGAAGAGAGTGGATTGGAGACGTGCTACTGAAGCTCTATGTTCCATTAGGAACCCAAGGGACAAATAATAATCATAATATATAACGATACTCGGCTTAGTTGTCTCTTAATCTTTTATTCATTCCAATATGGTTTGTTGTTATTACTTACTTTTATCTTTATTCAATGATTAGAACCACCTCGTAAGCCTATATGGCATAAATTTACGCCTAGTCTACGTGGTATACAAGCTGAATGGTTATCACCTGGTTCTAAACGCCTTGATGCACCAATTTTATGGTTCTATTTAAATTGGACAAATTTGCATACAGGTCAAATGGAAACTATTCGTCTATCATCAGATCAACGTACTTATTATCTATCCAATTTAACATGTGCAACAACAGTAAAATTTCAATTGAAAGCTGAAAATAAAGTTGGTAATAGTTCATTGACTGATATAACATCATGGACAACACTTGGCTCTGGTAAGCTTTAACTATTTACTCTCATTATGATCATTATTATTGCCATTGTTTTTTTCTTCACTAACTATTGATTGACTTCTGATAGCAGATGACCTCCTTTTTGGAAGCCTATATATTGTCTGCTACATACCAATTGATTCACAATCGATTGACCAATGATGTCTTTGAAGTGAAGATAGGAGTAAGACAAGGCTGTCGCCTACTATCACCGATAATCTTCTTGATTATGGTGGACTGGATCATCCAGATAACCTTGAGGAGCGAGAAGATGGTCATACGCTGGACCGATGAAAAGAGTCTAGAAGATTTGGATTTCGTCGATGATGACTTATGTCGAATGTAGCAAAAACAGGCGAAAACTAACAAGTTAACAGAAGAGACAGTGAAGACGGGACTTCAAGTGAATGTAGAGAAGATGGAGGTGATGAAGATACCCAACCAATAACAAGCACCAGTCACCATTAACGGGAAAAATCTAAAAGGAGTAGTCTCTTTCACCTACCTGGCAGCATACCCTCAAATACAGGCGGTACAGGCACAGACGAGGATGTTAAAACCAGGATGAGAAAGACAGCAAGACAGGCTTTCGTTAATCTGAAATCAGTGTAGAGATCTACTGCACTCAGCACAAAGAACAAGATTCGAATTTTCAACACCAATGTCAAGTAAGTGGTTCTATATGGTTCACAGACTTGGTGCGTCACGTAAAGTACTTCTAACAAACTACAGATATTCATCATCACCTGCCTACGCTGGCTCTATACTGAAGATCAGATGAGAAGGCGAGAAAGAATAAGCAAGGAGGAACTCTGGAATGAACCAACCAAGAACCTATCACCCAACAAATATGCACTGGAAGGAAGTGGAGATGGATTGGGCATGCACTGAGAGGGCCGATTGGGGACATCATGCGCCAGGCCAGGGTCTCGAGTGAAATCCAGATGGGAAACGATGAGTTTGGCCTCCCAGCTGAGGGTGACATGGAGGGGATGGTGTGAGGAAGAAATGAAAGCTTATGGGCAATCGTGGGACGAAGTTGAAAAGACTGGAGAGAAGAGAGTGGAATGGAGGCATGCTACTGAAGCCGTATGTTCCACTAGGAACCCAAGGGAAAGAAAGTAGTAATAATTCATTATGTTGTAATTTGTTTGATAAAATGATGAATACAAGGTTCGAGTGTCAGTGGCAACATCATCACTTACTGGAGGGGGGGTGGGGTGCAAGTACATTCAACTGACGAGTCCAAAGTGGTACGGGACACACCTCTTGGATCTTAGTTCTAGCCGCCTACAAGTATCTGTGCACTAAACGATTACTGAGTGATTGTCAGCCTGGATAGACTCTGATTATCATTATTTATCTGTCCTTTGTTTCTCTAGAGCAACATAGGGCTTCAGTAGCATGTCACTATTTCACTCTGTTCTCTATAGTCTTTTCAACCTAACTCCACCACTACACATAACCTTTGATTTCTTCCTAACACCATGTCCTCCATGTCACCCTCAGCTGAGACGCCCAACTCGTCGTTTCCCATTTGGGTTCCACTTGACGGCCTGGCCTGACGCCTGATGTCCCCAGTTGGTATTTCAGTGTATGTCCAATCTAATCTACCTCCACTTTCTTCCCCTGCATATTTGTTAGACGATGGGTTCTTGGTTAGTTCGTTAGCAGCCTAGAGTTCCTTGTTGCTTTCTCTTTCTAACCATCTGATCTGATCTTCAGTATGGAGTGAGTGTAGGTGGCAGCTGCTCATGTATTTTTGTAGTTTATTTAAAATGTTTTTCGTAACGCTCCAAGTCTGTCAACCACCACATAGAAGCACTGACTTACTTGACTGAATTAGTGTTGAAAATCCGGATCTTGTTGTTTATATTCAGTTGGGTTCAGTAGATCTCCACACAGATTATTCCAGATTAATGCAGGAATGTCTGTGTTGCTGTTTTCCCGATGCAGGCTTTGACGTCCTCATCTATGCCTGTGCCGCCTGTAGTTGAAACGATGGTTCCTAGGTAGATGGGTAGGTGGGTAGGTGGGTAGGTAGGTAGAGGTAGGTGAGAGAGACAACTTGGTTTATATTTCTCGCGTTGATGGTGCTTGTTGTTGTTGTTGGGTATCTTCATGACCTCTGTCTTCTCTAGGTTCACCTGAAGTGAGTGTCGTCTTGACTGCCTCGTGTCGCCTCTTCTGTCAACTTGTTGGTTTTTTCCTGTAGATCTTCTAGTTTGTGCAACATAAGACAATAGAAACAAATCATCATTTGTGAAATGCAAATGTTGTGGGGTCTTTTCATAGGTCGAACAGCCAGCGTATGCCGATCTTCTCGTTGCTCAGTTTCTTGCATAATCCATTCGAGTTGAGTGTGGTCGACCGCAATGAGGATGATCATGGATGATAGTAGGTGGGGGAACCTTGTCTTACCTGTCACCCTGTCTTCACTTCAAAGATATCACTAGACGAAGTTGGATAACCTTTGATACAACTCACTCTGACCTCGGAATACTGACTGTCCCACGATTGAATTAGGTATGAATATCAGAAGAGTCAGTCTTTGATTAACTGACTGATGTGTATACATTATCCTGTAATAACCGGCTATATGAATGTTGATGAAATAGAACAATCGTTTGTATACTGGGGCGTAATTCAAATGGAGTGTGTGTTTATATATATGTGTGTAGATGGGGGTTTGGGCATTTGTCGATCTCAAGGTAATTATCACCATGGATTGACATCCTTCAAATAACCATTGAGAAGCTTGGAGTACTGGACAGGTGTTTCGTTCTGTTTAGGGTACCTGAACAGTACGTATCCACCACTCTCCCCACTCCTCTTATTACAATCCACTCCTACTTCGGTTAAAATCTCGCGTTGAGGTAGCTGATGGTTCAGCATGTGCAACACATGTCCAAGCCATGTCAGGCGATGAAAGTTCATAACCCACCCTCAATTAACTTGCCTGTCTTGCCCTGTATCCCTTTTGCCTGACTTCAACATTACTCATATTGGGATTCCACCAAACTGAAGGAATGCTATGACGACATCTGTGATAGAAAACGTTTAACGATCATGTCTCACAATCTTATAACAGGACAAAATGGACTACAGCGCCGTGTACTCATCCTTTGATAGTTACTTGGATATCTTACAGATGCAACAAGTGACGGAGGTTGGTAAATGCCAAACGGGCCTTCTTTATCTGAGCTGAGATTTCATCAGCTACCAGCCCGTTCGAGCTGATGTAGTCGACACATTCCACCACTTCACTCCAGTGACCAATTATTGTAACTGCTACGTCTTTATCGCTCATTTGAAGTGTGCTGATCATGTCTATGAAGTGACAACTAAGCTAAATGACACAAAACTACACTTCACTATGTTCCTTTTTGTTGAATATTAATCAATACTACTCAAATGACAGGTTTATGTGCTAGATTCCACTTTTAAAGTGAATTGGTTGTGGCTTAAATAGGCATACTACTAAAAGTTTCTGTCTTCATCATTGAGTAATGCAAGTTTCTTGAAGGTTTCAGAGAAACTTTGCTTATGATTGGCAGTTGATAAGTATGCAACTCTTAACACACAAGACTCTATTATGAGGTGTTTATTCAACCATCTTCATCATCACCACCGACAGCATGGGAGCAGGGATTACTACGTAACACTCCAAGTTGTCACACCTTACGTCAGCACATCAAGTAACAAAGTGATAAGGTGGATGATGACGAAATGAAAAAGAATGGATCAAAGGAAGTAGAAGTAGAAGTGGAGAGTGCTAAAATAGAGAAAGGAAGAATGAGAAAATGGTGAGATTCAGTATAACGTCATTAAGATGAGGATAATGTGTGTGGGGATGCATCTAGGCCACTGACATCGGTTGTGAGCCATGTGATCACTTAGAGTCTCCAACCACTGATTCCTTTTGTCCCGCCAACCAGCTATTTTGCATCGCCTCACATGCCTCAAACGAACAATGTAGGAGTTCATTCATTGACACCATGTTTTAGTCTGGTTGCCCCGAAGCTTTTCCCATCCTGAGCTTACTTCAACCAACATTGCATGATGAGGCAGATAATGACTAGACATGTATAACGCATGACTTTCTTTTTCTCACCAAAATTCTACACCTAACTTCTGGGTTCCTCGCTCAGGGACAACACGACATTCAGCCTATTCTGCGAAGGCAATGGCGTTTCATCAATAGACAATCGGATATCGTGGTGGCACCATAGATGGCGTAGGTATCCATGCAGAGATTTCGTCAACCACTGACTGATGCACCAGAATTGTTCCAACTTCCCAGGTAAGTGAAGTGTACAATGTCACAGCACTATAAACATCCATCGAACCCCAATTGGTCAAGGAAACGATATCCCTCCTGATCAATGAAGACAAAAACCTTTCAGAACGCACAAAACTTCAATGTTCAAGTCTGATGGAACTCATCAACCTTTGTCTGACAATATACTTCCAATTCAGCGGCAAGGTGTACAAACAGATGAAAGGGACTTCAATGGGATCAACGATGTCCGGATTAATTGCAGAAGCAGTGATGCAGACACTGGAAGCATCATCCTACCTGTGATCAAACCAAAAATTTGGATTCGCTATGTAGACGACACTTTTTTCATCATTATTAAAAAGGATGATATAGAAAACACTCACAGTTTGACCAATAACGTTTTCAGTGACATCAAATTCACAATGGAGAAGGAGGCAAATAACCAACTACCATTACTGGATATTCTGGTCAATAGAACAAACACAGGGGAGCTGGAAGCCGATGTGTGCAGGAAGTCAACACATACTGATTGGTCCTATCATCAACTACAGAAGCAACGACCTAACAACACACAAAATCAGTTGGGTGCAGACTATATTCAAAAGAGCGAGAACACACTGCACTACACTACAACAACTTCACGGTGAAATGAAGAAAATTACTTCATGTCTATACCCTAAAGAAGAACAGCTACCCACCAAACTTTATCACAAGATGCCTATCCCGTGCATCACCAACTACAAAATCATCGACAGAAATCAACAAGCGCATCGCCCTACCATACATAAAGAATGTATCAGAAATCACAACAAGATTACTGAGACCACTTGGAATTCATGTGGACACTCATCAAACAACAAATTCCCTCCAAACACTATTATGCAGACAAAAGGATGCAACAACCAAGGAAGACAAATCGAATACCATTTACAAAATCAACTGGAATAACTGTAGTCAACACTACATTCATTGGACAATGTGGTCGCCCACCTTCGCCTTCGTCTACATGAACACCAATTGGCTATTAAACATCACACACAACATCTCATCACTCATTTCAATACATGTGGATAATTATGGACATGAATTCAATTTCGACAATGTAGAAATCTGTTATGGAGAGAGGAAACACAAAGAATGTCATCAGAGAATTCCTGGAAGCTTGGCAAGCAGATCAGTCGGTCAGTCAGCAACCAACAGATGTATAGACATAGACCCGATCTATCTAGCGATAAGAAAAATGAGAAACGACCGGAAGGTCAGAGGTCAAGCAGAGGAACAGCCAACAGGAAAGTCTATACAATCAATGACACAACAATCGAAGGAAACAACCAATGACAGACCACATCGTCAGAGCAAGCCACTAAATCACTCACAGAGAGATATTGATAGCTCCCTTCATACTGAGGTTAGTGCCGATGATGTCTCTGTCTAGAAGGACGATGAAAGCTTCACGATCAAACAACCCAGCTCCTCAGAGCACAATACAACCAAAACCATCCACCTGATCTACAAATATTCTCCATTATTTCGAAGTGTACAACACATTCAGCTACTTCACTCTGTATTGTTAGCTAGGAGACCGCTGAAGACTAGTTGTACAGCAACAATATGTAGGTGGCGAGAAACGTTTCTTGAACATTCCCAAGTTGCCAATTTAAGATGTCCAGAAGACTCTGAATTCTGTCAACATCTTCACCTAACTATTATAAGAATCGACGTTTTACTAGCGTAAAAGTGACTACTTACAAGCAAATGATCCATATCCTAAATACTGATTTCTTCTGTTCTTCTCCAAGAAACGTTTGACTCAAGTTGTAATCTTCTCTCTCTCTTTTGTTGTTATTATCATTTTCTTTTTTTTTGTATTTAGCTCCACTGACAGCCAATGCAGCTCAATTGATACCGAATAGTTTAAGGCAACAGTATTCAGTGATGTTTAATTTATCGAATTTTCTACCAGGAAATGGTTGTCCACCAACTACTTATCGTCTTTTGATTGCTCCATCTGAAGATGGGCATTTCGGTTTAAAACAAACACTGATCAATCAAACATTGACCAGAGCTGATCTTGTAACTGTAGACATATTGAATCGAGAACGGTGAGTGATAATAATGGTATTACTAGTCTTGAAGTCAATTACTTACCTTCTCATTATGCTTTTTTAAGTAATGACAAATAGGGGAAATCACATTGAAATTTGTCAATTACAGCTTAGCGAAAGAAAATTTTCATTGTGTTTATATTTATGATAAACAAACAAAAAAAACGAGTATTAGTTAGTTCGAAATGGTCTACAGGGAATCCTACCGCTCGGTTTCTACTCCCACAGGGAGCATCATTTCCCTTGAGATTGCAGTCATACCTTTCTGGTGAGTACTGGAATGCACGAAACTTAGATTGATCAGGATTTCCTGCCCATCACCTCCAACCAACTAACATCCATCAAAGTACACCACGATGATAAGCCCAAATGATGGAGAGACCTCAGTCAGCACTCAGAACTAGACAACATGAAAGTGGTTACTCTTCGTGGCCAATTAGTAAAAGAAATGATACAATTTATTGGCCTGTAGGTCAAGATTAGGTCATCGAAACGGAATGTTTCCCTGGGGAAAAGTGAGTCAATTCTACAATTAGGGATGGATTGCGTAATCACAGCGTGTGTGTATAAGGGAAATATTCGGCCGATTAAGGTAATGACCAATTGGTTAAATAGGCCAAAACTAACAGTAATAATAATAATAATAATAATAATAATCAATAATCGGGGTAAAGTGCATTATGCAGATTTTCATAAGAGATTGGAGCTAACATGTGTTAGGACGTGGGAAGTAAACCGTAAAGTGAAAACAATAAAAGTAATAAAGAACAGTCAACCAATAAGAGTCATATGAATATTGAAGCAATGAAGAAACTCAAAGAAGGAGTATAACCATGGCAAAAGAAGAGACTAGACATGCCTCTTCTATACTCAGAGCACACATTTTAATTCTTAGATTTCCAACTCCTCTGCTATCCATCCATCCACCACATCTACCTAGGACCCGAGAGTACTGCGTAACGGTCCAACTTCATACACCTCATATCACAACATCAAGTAGAAAGGTAGTGACGCGCAAGATGAAGATAAGAGAATGCATTCAGGAGAAATATAAAGTACGAAAAGAGAGAAACGAAAAATGAGAAAGTGGTGAGATTCAGTATAGCGTCATTAAGATGACGACAATATGTGTGGGGATACATCTGCACAACTCACATCTGTTCTCAGCCATGTGGTCGCCTAGAGTCAGTCTCCAACCACTGGTTCCTCTTGTCCCGCCAACCCCAACCACCTCATGTCTGCATCACCCCATATGGCTCAAACCAACAGTCAGAGACTTCATACATTGGTGACACGTTTTAGTCTAGTCACCTCGGACATTTTTCCAGATTGGACCTACTTCGACCAACATTGTGTGACGAGGCAATCAATCAGTAAACATAGGTAAACATGTCTCAACCATCCATCTCACTCGATGAAGGTTCATAACCTCGTCAACTGATTTACCTCTACTCCATCAAACTCTACATCTCACTTCTGCGTTACTCACATGGTGACGCGACGGAATACGGCTTATACTACGAAGCAACAGTGATCAAACACCTGAAGCCAGCCCTCTCATGTCTTCCACACTCAATGGCCATGTTTCACAGCCATAGAGTAGAAGAGAGTGGAATGCTGTGCAGTACACACGACCGTTGATAAACAAACCGACATCATGGCGGTGCCATTGGTGGAGTAAGTTGGCAAAGGTCAGCCGAGCCTTTTGTATCCATGCAGAGATTTCATCGGCTACTTAGCCACCAGGACGGTGCTGATCCTACTTCCCAGGTAAGTGAAGTGGTCGATACACTTAACCTCTACACTGTCTATTGTTAACGGCGGTGGGGCACCGTTGAATACCATTCCTGAAGCAACAATTTGCATTTGTGTGGTGAGAAGTGCATCTCAGAAATTCTCAAATTATCACTCAGTGTTGAGAAGACTCTGCATCTTGTCAGTGTCTTCAATTAACACGACATGTCAACTGGATATTCTAGGTCCACTTACAGAGACTATTTCTTTCTTATGTAACTCTCTACATCAAAACTAATAACCTAGAAGTCGGTAAGTTGATATACCCAATTCATTATCTATTATGTACTCTCTTGTGTAATTCAATTTTCATAATGTGCACAATATCTAGTCTATGGAAAAGAATTCTACAACTTTTATCCATGCTTCCATTATGCAGTTTGTGAAGATGTAGTTCATTCAACCCTTAAGGAATGCTTCTCAGGTGTTTAGACCCCACTCTCTACTTACTTCGACCTAAGCAACTAAGTAGTGTAATAAGCCTATTGGATAAACTTATACAAAATTGATTTCCTGTACACCATAAAATTCATACACAATATCATAATGTTACACTACTGATTTGAACAAATGTCAAAAGGAACAAATTTATATCATTAGTCTTCTATTTTCCCAACCGTGAGCTAACAGAAGTTAGAAATATGAGCGATTGGATTCTGACCCAGTGGCTAGCTCAGTGGTGACGTGCTGGCCACGGAACTGAAGGTCGTGAGTTCGATCCGTGGTGGTGCGGGGTCGTGGGTGCGCATTGCTGAGGAGTCGCATACTAGGACGAAACAGCTGTCCAGTGTTCCCAGGGTTCTTTAATTCCTCTAACTGATGTCAGTCAGTCTATGATAAATAACAACTTGAAATAGTGAGTTAATTTTCGTATGGTGTATTTTAAGACTTGTCAACCAGATATACCTGTATCCTACTGAGTGATGGCGTTCCCAATGAGATCGAACCCGACGCCTGTAGTTTCAAACACCAATGAACACATCCAACTCCTCTTAACTGTATCCATACCAAAAAATGTTCTACTGGCAGTGAGTAACTTATACTGAAAATAAACTTTTTAACCAGTCTGTATTCATACATCATATCTTGGCAATGAAAAACTAAAATATTATCAGTTTCAGGAGGATGAGACTAACTGAAACATGTCTAACTTGCCAAATTCTGGTTTGTGAAATTACGGTACTGAGGATTAGAATACCGTGCAGTGATTGAAGACTGCGTAAATGATTGGACTCCGACTTTAAACTGACTGTCCTCCGTCTGTTGGCATCCACTAGCACGTAACTGTGGAACAATTGACCTGCCTTTATGATATGTTCGTAGAAGGTTTCAAAAGTCACCGCTACTGTTAATAGTTTCTGAAGTTGGCCCAATGATTCTGTTATAGCTAGTTTTGTCCTCTCTACATCAAAACTAATAACCTAGAAGTCGGTAAGTTGATATACCCAATTCATTATCTATTATGTACTTTTAATGTGTAATTCTACTACAAGGCTGTGTACTATCACCGATGATCTTCCTGATTGTGGTGGACTGGACTGGATCATCCAGATAACCTTCAGAAGCGAGAAGATGGTCATACGCTAGACTGATGAAAAGATTCTAGAAGATTTGGATTTCCCTGACGACTTGTGTCCAATGTCACACAAACTGGAAGATCTACAGGCAAAAACTAACAAGTTGACAGAAGAGGCAGGGTAGGACAGCGAAGACGGGAATTCAAGTGAACGCGGAGGAGACAGAGGTGATGATGATACGCAACCATCAACAACAAGTTCCAATCACGATGAACGGGAGAAACTTAAAGGAAGTAGCCTCTTTCGCCTACACCTATCTAGACAATGCAGCATCGTTCCAACTACAGGCGGCACAGGCACAGATGAGGACGTCGAAGCCAGTCACGATCGGGAAGACAGCAAAATAGGCTTTCATTGACTTGAAACCGGTGTGATCTACTGCGCTCAACACAAAGAACAAGATCCGGATTTTCAACACTAATGTCAACAAGTCAGTGCTTCTATGTAATGGTTGAAAAACTTAGCGCGTTACAAAAGGCATTTCCAAAAACTACAGATAGTCATCAACAACTGCTTATGCTCACTCGATACTGACGATTAGATCAGATGGCGAGAAAGAATAAGCAAGAAGAACTCTGGCTGGCTGCCAACGAACCAACGAAGCAAGTACTTGGAGATACATTTGGAAAGGCTGTGGATTGTGCGATGCATTTAACGAGCTTTACGAGAGCAGGTAAACTGATAGATGCACATTGATATGGTTCAAAGCGGCACTTAGCTCTTCACACCTCTCTGAATCAACTGTTGGGTGGAGATGCCCATTCACAGTTTGTCAGCATAGATGGCTTGTTTTTTTATGCTTTAGAAAGACAATTCTTGAGTAGTTCTACTGCATTGTCCCCTTTGGATTAAATATTCATGAATAACATCTTAATGGGAATAGTAAGAACTAGTTTTCATCGTTATCTTTTCCCATAAATCTTGGGGGATAATGATTTCTGAAGGTGTTTTAATTCTTCGTCTATTATGTCAGTTGTGAAAATTCTTATTGTCCTTGTGTACAGTGAAGGAATAAGATTCCTTTTTCATCTCGTTGATACCTAACTTTGAGAATGAATGTACTATTCATTCGATATTGGGTTGCTGTAGAGATCGACTTATTTTTGAGGATGTATCAGGTCTTCTTGATATGGGGATAGAGAGAAATGACACTAGTCTGGAGAGGTACCAGTCAAAATGTACTTTATATGATCACTTCTACAGTTAGACAGATAGACAGATAGTCGGTGGATCACGCAATCAATAGGATTATATATATATATATATATATATATATATATATATATATATATATATATATATATATATATATATATATATGAGCTGTAGTTTCCTATGTTCTGGGCCTCAGCCTTTCGACCACAATACACGTTTCTACACGTCCATCTTGTCTTCTCCATTAATTAGTCGAGTCGGAAATCAACTGGGAATTTATTGAATATTGGTGGCTGACAATCGATATCCGTACATTGTTAGCGGGCCATAGCATACAGCAGTTTCCAAATCATAACAGTGACAACGGAAATGGGATATTAGGGAATGGATGCTTCTAAGTTGAACAATTTCCACGAACAAAAAATGAGGATTATCGAGATACTTATGCAGTCCAATATTTATGGTACTAAA